TTAAAAAGAGTATTGGTCATGTCTTTTTTTTTTTTTTTTAAGAGTGTGCCTCAATTTTTTTTTCACATGATTAGAGTTATGGATTTGGGGAAGGACATACAGAAGTGAAGGATCCTGATTCCATAACATCAGAGATACATAGTAGCAGCATGACTCATCATCATTAGCGGCATGATTTGAATGTATCTCTGTGCTCATCAGCTTTCCACTGCTGTGAAAAAAATAACCTAAGATATACTGCCTGAGGAGGAAAGAGTCATGTGGCTTACAGTTTCAAAGATTTTAGTTCATTGTCAGCCAGCTCTATGGCTTTGGGTCTTTTTGAAGCAGAACATCATGGTGGGGAGTGGATGGTAGAGCAAAGATGCCCACCTCATGGTGGCTTGGAAGCAAAGAAAGACAGAGGAGGGATCAGCTCCTAATATCCTCTGCAAGGTCACGCCTTCAGTGACCTAAATTTCTTCCATTAGGCCTCACTTCCTAAAAGTTTCACCACCTTCCAATAGCACAACAGGCTGGCGAACAAAACTTCAACATGTGGCCTTTGGAAGACATTTCAGATCCAAATAATAAGGAACAAGTATTATTTCTTTGTTGGTAGAAAATTCTCTTCTGATAAATTAATTTGAAAATATTGCTATTCAAACTTTTAATATTTCTAATGATTAAGGTGTCAGCCGAGTCTACATAATAATGTTGAAAGTTAACATTTGATACTTTAACCTCTAAGTTGGCTATAGTTTTTGCTACATGTTGCTATTCAGGCCCTCAACTCAACAACCTAGTGTTCTTGAGTAGTCAGTCAGTCCAGTCTGAGTTCTCGGTCATCAACATAATACGTATTTATTGAGGACATAGCCCTTTCAGGCATTGTTCCAGAAGGATCTGTGTGTACCATTTTAAAATCTATTTTTGAAAATTGAGGCATGTCCCCAAATTTAAAACTATAACATGTGGGATGATGGTTGGAATTCAGGCAGATTGATGCCCATCTTCAAAAGCTGGTTTTCTTCTTTGTCCATGACCTACCTGCCTTCTCATTCCCTCCTCTCCCCACATTTAAAGCCACAGTGATAAGCCAGGTGCAGTGGTGCTTGCCTGTGATCCCAGTTACTTGGGAGACTAAGGCAGGAAGATCACAAGTTTGAGGCCAACTCATCAAGACCCTAGCAACTTACCAACTTAGACCCTCTCTCAAAATAAAATTTAAAGGACTGGGAATGTGATTCAGTGGTAAAGCACCGCTGAGTTTAATCCCTAGTCTAAATGAATGAATGAATGAATGAATGAATGAATAAAACCACACAGTCACTAACTAAAACACAGTACTAAACATTCATTTGGGGGGGGGGTTGATCTCCAAGAGTCCTTTTTTAAAATGTAAAAAATAATTTTGCTCACATCCAGAGATGATAAAAAAAGCGTAAAAATATTTTTGAATATGCTTCAAACTGTTACTCTTCCCCAACACCTTATGGTGAATTTATCAAGTTTCCTTATTTTCTGATGACTACCTGAGAACACTTTTACAAGGGAACAGATTATGGAGTATAGGGAAGGAAGACAGGACCTAGCATAGGGATCCAGGAAGTCCTGAGAGAGACAGCTCCCTTATTGCTATTTTATTTCATATTGAAGAAGGGGAATATTTTTGACTCTTTTTATTTTATTTTATTTGTGGTGCTGGGGTTTGAACCCACGGCCTTGTGCATGCAAGGCAAGCACTCTACCAACTGAGCTATATCCCTAGCCTTACTCTTAATTGATTCAGTGAAGGAAAAAGATAGACAATGCTTCTGCTTTTTCTATTTTTCACTATAATTTTAGAAGGAAGCCCCTAATAATCTAATCATAGTTATACTAATGTTATGTGTCCATTGTTCAAGTCACTCATTTATTGCATGGCCTTGTGACAGTTATATCATCCTGGATTCTTGGCTAACTTATTTACTTGCATGGGATGTATTAGGTATGTTATAGCCTCAATGATATAATATATAATAAGTCCTTTATGATATAAATAAATATATATGATATAATATATAATAAGTCCTTGGTGGGTAGAGATACTGAGTTACACTTTCTGGAGTATATTATGATTAGCTATATAAAGCAATGTACATATCATATGTTGGCAGATACTGGTACTTTGTTGACATAAATTTGGGAGAATAAGATGCTTATTTCTCTTTTCCAGCCTGTGGATATTGTGTCCTTCACTGGGATTCATAGCAACTGCCTTTGAAACAATACATTATATTTCTTTTTGCTAAACAAGCAGATAATTAAACCGTCTTGATCTCAGAAAATGTTACACTAAAACATTTATCAGTAATGAGATTAGAATTTGTACCAGAATAGAGAAAGGAATTCCATGCTTTCGCTCTCTAAAATGTGATTGTATTAATAAGCTTTGATCCAAATTAAATAATGCAGGATAAAACTACAAAAATAACTTCGTCTAGTGAATGAAAACTCTCATATTCTGAGGATTTATGATGAACACAGTATATTATGAACTTTATGTAGGTTTTGATTGAACTTCTTCTTTTGCTCCTTTCCAGGACTTAAATTTAACCTTGTCAGATTGAAATGGGTAAGAAATGAACACACACACTTAACAGGTGTAAATGAGAAGGAAGGTCTCTGGAGATGATCTCATGAGCTTCACTAGTGGCTAATAAAGGTTGGTCACTTCCTTTCCTAATTCACCATAGTCCTGGGGTCAGTTCAAAAGCTTCCAGACTCAAATCTGCATTGTGAGCCTTTTGATCGCATTCCAATAAATCAACCTGCTATTTTAGAATCGACTGACATTAATCTAGCTCAAGACTTAGGTCTATGCATTCATTCACATTCATATCTATATAGACATTTATTTATTCATCAGTTATTGAACCCTATGATGTGCCCTGTGATGTGCATTTTATATAGTGGGAATGGAGCCTTGACCTTTGTTTGTGTCATTAGACACATTAGTGCATATTTTGGTGAAGGAGTTTGACAAAGAATATTCCATATCACCAGTAGGTGAAAAGGGAAGCAAAGGAAAATAAAAAGTAAGAGAATAGACAGAGGGGTGAACAAGAAGAGTCCATATGAAGTGAGACACTTGAGGTTTGTCCAAAGAGTTTCAGAGAGAATGTCCCTGAGGAGGATGCCAGCTTAGAAGGTCCTAGGAGCTGTAATGCTCAATGTTCAACAGGCCGGAACAGACTTGAGGACAAACAATGCAGGTATTTTGTATGGAAAGCTAAATCACTATCTGAAGGTTGGTTGTTGAAGTCTGTATCTGAACAAGGGGTTAGTGACCTGGCACCAGTGACTTAGGGTATTGGCCTGAGTCTGTTGAGCATCCATCTATACTTCTGATCCATTACCTGACATCAGGTATGTCTCTGGCAAAGGATGGGATAGGCACTGCCAACTTCCATTTCTTTAATTTGGTGCTAGATGAGTCCTGGTTCCACTTAGGAACTGGAAAATCCTGGCAGGTTCCCTACTCTGTCTAATTCTTTGTAAAGCAAACCAGCCCCAAGAGATAGTAATTTGCCCCAGGCCCACAGAGATGGAAACTGAATTCAGCTTTTGCCTGTGTCCTGCGCCTTCCTGCTGTCTCTTTGGGTGGGCTCACACTGGCAGAAAACAAATTTTGTGGCAGCCAATTAACCAGAGAGGAGGACTAGTGTGACCATTAGTTAGAAGTCTGTCTTCATTAGTAAGTGTTGCCCTTTATAGTCTGAACTTGGAACATTTCTCAATATCGCTACTTTTTTTTTTTCAAATGTGCTGGGGTGTCTCCCTCTGTCTGACTTCCCCCATATGACATTGGCACTTCCACAGGTGCATTTCCTAGTCTTCCTAGGCCTAGGGTCAGAGGCAATACCATGTGCTTTTTCTCTAGCAGGTCACAAAGAGCCACATCCTCAGGAGCTTAAAACACACTTGCTTACAAAAAACAAGATGGTATTTTTTCACACTAGAAGACAGGACAGAGAATTCCAGGAATTACTGTCCTAATAATTATGATTTATTTAGATAGTATTGATGAGGTTGTGTTATACAAAATGCACTTGCCAATTTTTACTTATGCATTTTTCCTTTAATTTTATTTCAGCATATTTAATGCAGAGTACACAAGTCAATAACGGTTTGCAAAAACAGACTTTATTCCTGTCAAAGCAGTTTTACAAACATTGCATCATTTGCTGTGCAGGCAGGACTGGGTATGGCTGGCTTTACTATCTTCATTTGAATGAGGGAAACTTAGATGCTGCCCACTGAAGGTTTTCACACAAGTTACTTCATTTGATCCTCCCCGTGCATCTTACACAGCCGAAAGAGCGCGCACACTCCCATCAGTCTGGGCAAGAGTGGGGTGGAGGTTAATCAAGGCGACTTCCTGCTAGACAAGCCTGTCTGGTTCTGGTGGGGACAGACGATGGGGTCGGAGTTAGGGGCACATCCCTGGGTCCTGGTTCCCGAGGAAGGATTTCCCAGCAGCAAGCCCGCCTGGCATCTAACCCGGGAAAATCCACCCTGGCCAACCCGCGGGACCCCCAACTGGCAAAGTATAGAATCCCAGTGCGCGCAAGGCAAGTGCTTTAAGCGTCATCTTTAGGGCGCCCTCAAGTCAAGAGCTGAACTCGTGCTGCTGGGACGCGCGGAGGCAGGTGTCGCAGCGGTCCCGAAGGACCTGGGAGGTCTTTCTGTTAGGCAACGGGAGAGCGCCGCCCGGGGCCAAAGGAGGGCCCCAGTAGGCCCTAACCCGCCACAGCCGGGCGGGGTGTCGTGGCCTGCGGGCCTGCCTCCAGCCCCAAGCCAGCCCACTGCGACCTCAGGTACCAACGAAACCCGGGCTCTGGCTAACGGCCTGCCCCGGCCCCTTAGCGAGCCCCGCCCCTCAGCAAGCTCCTCCCACTGACCCGGCTCTCTCCCCCTTACCACGCCCCTTCCGCTGATCTCCCATTCCGGGCCCCGCCTCTTCCGCTAGCCCCGCCCCGTCCCTCTCACGTGTGGGTTCTGGAGCGTGTCTGTTTTCTGCTGGAGTCCTCTCGCCTGGAGGCCTGAGGTGCGTGCTTTCCGTCGCACCGGTACCGTCTCGGCCATGGGGGTCTCCAAGAGGAAAGCCTCAGGCGGCCAGGGCGGCGCGGCTTCCGCTGCGGGAGCAGCCAAGCGGGCCCGCACTGAAGAGCTCACGGGCGTGCAGTTCAAGACTCGGCTGAGGGATCCGCAGGGCGCGGGGCCGGGTGAGTGCCGGGCGGCAGGCCCCGGGCAGCGAGCGCGTGCTTGCGAGGTGGCCTTCCTGCCACTGTCTAGACACGGCCAGACACAGCCTGCCGTTTCTGCGGGTCACTGAGGGTCAGAGCCAAGCTTCTGGTTTTGAAGGACACTGAGACTCCTGTGACTGTGCGTCCAGGGTCCCCGGCGGGCCAGAGCAGCTCCAGGACTGAGTGCTGCATTTCATTGCCCTGGGCTGTCAGCGACAACAAGGGCGCTGCCTCACTTGGTTTTGACAGTTTCTTGCTGTTGCCCATTTCCCTTGCCTGGGCAGAACCATCAGCCAACTCTAAAATCTCCTTGTTTCAATTATCAGGAAAGTAAATCAAGCATCCCCATTCACACACAGAAAATGTTTATAGGGTTTCTACTTGGTTCAGGCCAGTTCAGTAAGACAGTTTGGTATTTCCTTGGGCCGTTAGCGCCATTTTCAATGCCTGTGATCCTTCAACACTTAGGATGACCTGATAACACATGTGCAAGCTATGAGAAACCACCATAACTACTTGTCAGTTGCCAGGATTGGGTCAGTGACTGAGATGGAGCACATTCTGTAACTTAATCTTACTGTTTGTAAAGTGTAACCACACTTAACAACTACTTGCAATTCTTTAGAAAGTATGGAGGTTAGGAAGAAAGAAACACAATTGAATGTGTTGCCAAGTGGAAACAGTGGTGGTATTTCTTCCACATTAAAGAAATTACTAAATCTATGGTCAGCATATCCTCAACTTCTAATTTTTCTCCTATGGATTCTGTTTTTAAACTTTTGATGCCTGCCAGGAACACATACTAATACATTTCATTCATTTAGCCTTTCAGTTTTTTATTAGGGTCCAGTGTTTGTTAGGGTTGAGATAAAATGGTGGTGAATAAAAATCTGCCATAGGCCTTGCCATTGTGGGTCTTACAGTCAAGTGAGAAAGCAGATAATCAATAAAATCACATATATATAATTCCAAAGGAGCCATGCATGGTGTCTGAGGGTACCTAATGGCCTTGGAACTAATTTGTGAGATGGAAGAAGATTCCTCCAAGGACATGGCTTTTCAAAAGGGCTATAGAAGGGGACAGAAACAAGAGCCCTTCTGGCACAAGATGTGTTTAGCTACTATATCCATATTTTATTGTCTGGCTCAGAGAGTACCATGTCATTCATGAGCTGCATCAATTGAGCAGGTGTCAGAAGACAACTGGATTGACAGGTGATGGTTGTAAAGGAAGTAGCTGAAAGATACTGCAAAGCTGAAAGTCAGTGGGTGAAAGCATGAATCCCTTGTGCAAAACTGCTTTAGATTTATGTTTGAATCTAGTCTCTTCCTTTGATTCTCTCCTCCCCTTTTTGATATGCTTTCAGCTTCCTCTGAGAGAATTTCTGGAAGATCAGGGAAGTAGAATTGAAGGATGCATATTGGAGGATTTTCTTTCCATATAGGCTTGAGGGACAATTTCTATTTATACTTCTTTCGCATGGTACAGGAAAAAGCTGCAGGTGATTGGTAAAGGGTGCTCAGTGGATCATCAGGGATGATCCTAGATCAAGAAGTGTTCTGCTTCAAGCCAGTTCCTTGGAAAGTTTGTGCCCCATATTTCACTGCTGATAGAAAAGATCATACTGAAATACGAGTACACAAAAGATTAAACTTTGGAGCTCTCTAGCCTCACATTGCTTCTGTGTTCTCTATACATTAAAGATAGTTCTGATCATTTGGATGTTCCTAGCCGAACCCTCCTTGTGCCTCATTCCAACCCCCGGCCTTGGCAGCTCTCCTTCTGAGTGGCCCTGGAGTCCATCAGTTCCCCTCTTTCTCCACCATCATTCTAGTCCAGGCACCTTCAGTACCTATTGGACTGTGGCTAAAGCTGCCCAGGGTTGGTCTCTTTTCTACCCTCGATTCCCTACAGCCCTTTCTACATGCAGGAGGTAAATGATGTTTTAGAATTTCAAATCTGATGTTGTCACTCCTCTCATGGCTTCCTTCTGTGGCATCTCACTGTTCTTAGGGTAAAATCCAGACTCATTACTGGTACCTCAACTACCCTTGCTTTCTTCTCTGCCTTCATCTCAGGCCACGCTCACTCACCTACTCATCTACTTGCCTAGCATCAGTATTCTCCAGCCTCAGGGCCTTTGCATGTCCTTATCCTGGAACACTAACTTCCAATGCATTTTTGCCATTATCAGGTTAAGCATTACTGCTTCAGGGAAAACCTTCCCAGCCCTCAACTCTAAATCATGTTCCCCAGTTATAACCTCATTATACCTTGATTTTTGCTTCATTGCACTTAAGTATAACATGACTATTTAAGTGATTGTGGTAGGTAGTTAATAAACATTCATGGAATGAAAGTTGGTCTCTGCTACTGCATTGTATGTACATGTGAGTAGAGGCCATTTCCAGGTTGTTCACCAGCACTTCCCAGGCACCCACTGTAATGCCCAGTGCATGTGGTGGGTGCTCAGTAGATGGTAAATAGAAAGGTGAGCTCAGAGATGGCAGGTGTAATAGATCAGCAGTTTCAACTCTTGAATAGCCTATACTGTCTGGAGTTTTATGTTAGAGTTTGGCAAATGATTCCTTAAAAAAGAATGAATATTACTACTGTTCTTTCTGAATATAGTAGCAGCCCTTGCTGTCTCTTGCATTCTTGCATTTTCTTAAAGGAGAGGGATAGGGTCAATTCCAGATACCTGAGGATTGAGCTCATGTGACCCTTAAAGGGAATTTTTAGGGTGAATTTATAGAGAAATATGCAAGTAGGAGTCATACCTCTTGGCTTTTGAAGAGCAATAAGGCCCACTGCAGTTCCTGGTGCTGGCAGTGGCCCAGGCTCTGTACACTGTATACTCCATCCCACATAAAGCAGCACAGGTCAGCTGTAGCTTTTGAAGGAAGAACATGGTTTTGGGAGCAAGACTGCCTGGATTTGAGGTCTTGTTCTGCCACTTCTTAGTTAAGTACCCTTGGCCAGGGCCTCAGTTTTTTCATCTTTAAAATGGTTCTAGTTCATGGGGTGAAGGGTCATGGTGAGAATGAAGTGGCATGACATAGAGCTCATAGGTTGCCATCTGTTAGGTGAGGAAATGAAAGCTAGGAGGCCCAGGTGAGAGTGCTGGCTGGAGCCAGGATTGAAACCTGTGCATTCTGTAAGCTCACAGCTTGTTTATTCCTGTACTGCCTTCATTCATCAAGTGTTTTTGTAATGTCCATATGGATCATCTACTGGAGCAGTTGAAATAAAGTACATGGCTTAAACTGCAATTATTTATTTTCTCACAGCCTGGACCCTGAAAGCTGAGATTGAGGTGCCAGGATGGTTGTTTCTGATGATGATTCCTCCTGGATTGTAGTCAGTTGCCTTCTTTTTGGGTCCTCCTGTGGTCATCACATGTAGAGAGAGCCTTCTGATATCTCTTACTTTTCTTACAAGGACACCAATCCTGTGGGATGAAGGCCTCAATCCCATGACCTCATTTAATCTTAATTACCTCCTGAAAGGCTCCATCTCCAAATACAATCTAGTAGGAGGACCACATTATGTGAATTTGGGCGGGGGGAACAGTTCAGTCCATAACATTTCCAGTGGCTTCTCTGGCCGTGTAGGTAGGTCATGGGGATCACGACAGGGAAAGCGGTTGCAGTAGTGGCTATGATTGTTTCTGAGGAGACTGTCCTCGCTGACCTTTGAACATTACTCTTATTTCAGCCTTGGAAGCATTTGTCACTGCTGCCAAGAAGCTACCACAAGAAGACAAGTATGATATTGTAGAAGGGTATATAAAGATATCTGTTGAGTGTGCAGAAGTTTTCCAGCTTCTGAGTGGAGAGAAGCGGCCTGAAAATGAAGTATGTTGTTTCTTACCTGGTTTGATGAAGAGGAAAAAAAAAAGTTAATGATGTTGTGATGTTAAATTTGATGAAATAATGATATAAACATCTCAGACAGTGCCACGTTTCTACAAGAATGATGTTTCTACAGGTTTGTCTTGGTGCTATAGGAATACATTCACTAGTACCTTCATGACCTTTGAAAGCATTTTAGTTGGAATCACTAACTTATTATTAATATTTGGTGAATACTCTCAGAGGTAGGATCACAAACTCTTAATCAGAATGTACCTGACTTATTTTAATATAAGCAAAACAGCTAACCACTGTCTCAGGACATGTGGAATTGGTATTATCTTTTGGTTCCAAAGAGGTTGAAAATTTGAGATATTTATGAATTTGTTGAAGTCTCAAGATTATTGTTATAAAGACGGAACAGAATGTTCTCAAAGTGATGAGGCCCAATCCTTTTTAGAGTTTTCTCTCTTTTTGGGAGGTAGGAGTGGGGGTGGTACCAGGGATTGAACTCAGGGGCACTCTATCACTGAGCCACATCCCCAGCCGTATTTTGTATTTTATTTAGAGAAAGGGTCTCACTGAGTAAAGCTCCTCACAGTTGCTGAGGCTGGCTTTGAACTTGCAGTCCTCTGGCCTCAGGCTCCCAAGCTGCTGGGTGCATGCGCCACTGCACCCAGCTAGAGTTGTTTCTTTTCATGTAATTGTAAGCAAGCCATTTTGTATTTCCAGTCCAGAACCTGGGTCTTCGCAGGTGAGCCTGATAAGCTGCTACCTTTGCCATCTTTGGCTCAGGATCTGAGGAGGCCTGACCCTGCACATTGAAAGTTTCAAGCCTGCAAGTAATTCTGGCTTAGACAAGAGGAGCATGTATGTATAATAGGAAAAGAGATGAGATGATTTATAAGTGTTGTAATTTCTTCTTTGCAGATGCTGTTAATATTTCAAGTTTTTGAGGCCATATTATTGCGGACAGCGAGTGATCTTTCACATTTTCACATTGTGGGCACCAACATTGTGAAAAAGCTAATGAACAACCATATGAAGCTCATCTGTGAGTCCCTGTATGCCTCAGGTTATCGGTAAGTTGCCTATATCTGTGTGGCAAGCAACTAGCCTTTGGGTTTGGTCTGTGTTCAGCTCCCAATGAGTGCATTTGACCTTTACCTTCCCTCATTAAGGAGAGCTGAGCTATTTCTGAGCTGTTGAGGTGGTGCCCTTTGCTCCCCCAGCCCCGCTGCCTTCCTTGCTGTCCCAGGCACAGCCCAGCATGCCTTACGTAGTCTGTTCCTTCTTCACTGACTCTTTTCCCAGGTAGTCTCAGGCTATCTCTGTCTACAGCACTTTGTGGAAATGTTACCTCAGTGGGGCCTTTGTTGACCATCCTATGTCCAGTGGCATACCCGCTGTCCTGCCCCTTCAGCCTGCTTTAGTTTTCTGCATAATGATAAATACCTGTACAGTTGACATAATATTCCACATCTGTCTCTTGACTGCCTTCCTCCACTGGAATGAAAGGTGCATGTGGGCAGGGCCTTGCCTATCTTATAAAATGTCGTTGCCTTCCCCCTAGAACAGTGTGTCGCACATAGTGGGTGTTCACTGAGCCACCAGTTTTGGATAAGTAAGCAGAAAGGCAGCCAGGTGCTCACTTTTAGAGAAAGGTCCTGTGTTCCAGACATGGGCTGCAATGTGGTATCTTGGTCACATGATAGTTTACTTGAGAAATAAATTTTCACCTTTGTTTTTTTCTTTCTTTCCTTTTTTTTTTTTTTTTTTGGTGCTGGGGATTGAACTCAGGGGCAACTCTACCACTGAGCCACCTCCCCAGCCCAATTTTGTATTTTATTTAGAGACAGGGTCTCACAGAGTTGCTTAGCACCTCACCATTGCTGAACTCTTTATCCTCCTGCCTCAGGCTCTCAAGCCACTGGGATTACAGGTGTGCACCACTGCGTACGGCTACATCTTTGTTTCTTAATCTAACTCATTCTCAGTTTTTTAGCTTTTGAAGTTTTGTTATACTTGAAGAAAGGAAAGAGCACATCTTCCTCTATTCTGGTTTTGGGATAGCAGATCACACAGCCAGCTGTATGCTTGGCTTCTTCAGGAAGTTGTCTTGTGTTTCTGTCCCCTAACATGCTTGGCTTTCTGTCCCTGTGCAGGTTGGCTCGGGCCTGTCTTAACCTGATGGCTGCCATGGTGAGCCAGGGTCCCGAAGCTGCCAGAGATGTCTGCAGCCATTTTGATTTGAATAAAAAGACCTTGTACACCCTCGTGACTAAGCGGGATTCAAAGGTAAGAACCCAAGGGTTGTGCTCCTCCTCTCTTTGGAGGGCTGTGGTAGTTTATTTTTCCTCCTCTTGTCTCAGTCCCCAAGCACTTAAGAGAAGGCTGTCCTTTGGCAGCAGCCAGCCTCCGTCTGTGAGGAAGGTAGGCTTCACCCTCGCTGATGATGGGGCCAGCTCCTTAGCAGAGCCTAAACAAGTAGGACATCTCAGGAAGCTTCCAGGGCTGTGGGGGAGGGGAAGTTGGCTTGGTGATGCTTTGCTTGTGGCCTGTGAGGATGACTTAGTTCTCAAGTGTCTCCTATTCTAAGCAAATGAGATAACCTCCCAGTCCATCAAGGCTATGAGGTTTCTGAATACCCCAGTCCCCTGTTCCTGTTCTATCCACTTGGGAGAGTACCCTTGGAACTCTAAGCCAGTGACATCCTCAAAGAGGGCTCTTATTTTCCTTTAGTAAGTGACTTGTGCCTCCCAATTTTAATCTTGTTATGGGTAAGGGATGGATGTGCCTGAGAGAATGGGAGTGTGAATGCTTGGTCTTTAGGAGTTCCCCAGTAGCTCTAGCAGTGTCACTTGGTTTGGACAGGCTCTTGAGGAGAAAGCACATTGGGATTTCTGTGATACCTCCTGATGTGCCACCTGTAGTTGTGGCAGTGCCTCTTTCCATTTGCCATGTGGGCTGTCTTGCTGGTGAGGTCAGTGTTGTGCACAGCCCCATGGAACTTTCTTCCACTTCCTGAGCAGGCAGACAAGTATCAACTCCTATCTGCCAAGGTGAGAACCACATTAGAACAATTCTCCTCTGTAACCACATGCTAGCTTGTGCTCTCAGTTTTTCTGGGAATTCTAGCTGGGTGCTATGGCATGCACCTGTAATATCAGTGGCTTGGGAAGCTGAGTCAGGAGGATCATGAGTTCAGAGGCAGCTCAGCAACTTAGCGAGGTCCTAAGCATCTTAGTGAGACCCCCACCTCAAAACAAAATATAAAAAGGGCTGGGTATGTGGCTTAGTGGCTGAGAACCCCAGGGTTCGATCCCTGGTAAAGAAAGAAAGAAAGAGGGGGGGGGGGGAGAGAGAGAGAGAAAGAAAGTAAGTAAGTTTCTGCATTGCTAGGAAATAGACTGAAGGGTTAATAATAATATCAAGTACTTTTATGGCTCTGTGGGATTGGCCTGATGTTGAGGGTTTTACTGAAATTACAAATAAGGTATTCTCTGAGGGAAAAACATCCAGGTCTTAGTGTCTCTTGGATACTGTGCTTTATTAACATGTTGACAAATTCCATTCAGTGAGTAATGGCTTCTGACATTTAAATGCATTTCTCATAAAAAGAATGTGTGTGTTATTTGCACACCAGAGTAGATTTCGCTGTTCTTTGGTCTTGGCTGGCAGGAAGCTTGGCAGTAGTTATCCATCAGGTACCCCTCCCCTTTTCCCTGTCTCTCTTGGCCTTAGCAATCCCAGCCATCTGAGTAAAAAAGAATTAAGTAAGTACCCAGGCCACCCACCAAGAACAGATGATGTGGGAAAATCAGCAAAGGCTTCCCTTCGTGATGATAGTGCATCCAGCTGTTTCATCTCAGGGTCTCAGGGCAGGTCATTTTACCTCTTCAGGATCTCAAAAATGGGAGTTAATGTCAAGTTGAAAGTGTTTTTACCTCTTGTGTAATTTTCTCTATCAGGTATCTTAAGTGTTTTGAATGCTGTAGGAAATGGTGTCTAGACATTTAATTTTTGTCTCAATATAGGGAATCTGAGGGATATTAAAGGAACAAGGAACCCCGTGTTCCAGCTTCAGCCAGCGTCATCCACCTTGCACCATTTGTTGCTCAGCCAGCTTTTCAGTTTGCTTGGCTGTACGTATTATAACAGATGCTGATGTGAATCATAGTTCATCATGAATATTTCAGCATGTACTCTAACAGAAAAAGACATTTTAAAAAACGAAACCACAGTACCATTATTGCACCTATTATCATTAATTATTTCTCACCATCATCTAAAACCCAATTTGTCTTAGAATTTTCCTGACCATCTCAAAATATTTTTATACTTTGCAGTTCAAATTGAGATTCAAACAATATTCACATGTTGTATTTGGTTGATGTGTTCCTCAGGTCCTTTTAAATATCTTTTGAATTTTTGCATTACCCCTCCTTTTTGTTCAGGCCATTTCGTTATTAAAGATGCTGGTAGCAATTTCTGTATTTTAACGAGTGTATTTGAACACCTGGGACAGAATTATTAAAGTCTCCTGAAGAAAGGATCATGGGTATATTCTTTCAGCCAAGAAAAGCATTGTTAAAATCTTGTGCCAGAGAGCAGTTTTGCCAAATATGTTTTAGTCTATTTTAGTGTTTTACAGAACAAGCCCTGAAGGATCCAGGATGTTTGCTTCCTGGAATAACAGCCCTGTGAGGTCACAGGGTAGGAATGAAGAGTAGGCACATGGCCCTCTTTCAGTGGGAGGGGAATGCCTTTGAAGAAGTGCTGGGGATGTAGACAGACCCAGGTGGCTATGTGGGAGTGTGGTGGCAGCCAGCCTGGAGTGGGCAGGTGCTGCATAGTGGGCATTTTCATCTCTCTGCTTCCTCTTCAGGGTTAGCCTCTGAGATTTTGTGTTGTCTGGGATACATAAGATGGGAGCCCTGGTTAATAAATAAGTTCCTTTTCTTTTAGAAATTCATTGCTAGAGGGATTCACAGGAAAATCTAGTACAACTCTGCTGTGACAGAAAGCTCTAGAATGGCTGAAACTGGGACCAGCATTCCAAGGCCCTGTCTCCCAATATTGTTACTTATTTGTCTTTGCGTCCTTTCAGCCTGACATGAAGGCTTCTTGAATCTTGTGGGGGTTTTGAACATTGAGTTGGCAAGTGAAGGCACAGGAGCATGGATAACATCCTTAGGAAATGTAGCTCATTTGCAGCCTTGGTTATCATTGTACCTGGGCTCCATGAGGTAAAAAGACCCACAGACAGTTACCCAGAACAGAAAGGATCATTTGAAGCTCTCTGGAATGAATCAGCATTGGTGTAATAAGATCTTGCTGAAATGCCATGTGCATGGACAGAGATTTAGTAAATAAAACTAATGTGCAAGGCCTTGATCCAGATGTTGAATCCAGGTGTTGATCCAACTATTCTTTTCCCCGGCAGAAGCATATACCCAACAAAGCAAGAAGAAATTGATTAAATACTTGCATAGAAACTGAATTGATATGAAGTGTGCCCCCATGCCCTGAGCAAAAATGAAATGCAAATGCCATGGGAGCTCTGAGAAGAAGGGAGGATTTCATCAAACATAACATAGCACATTGTTCAGTTATTTCTTATTACCCCAGTTCGGGTACTTGCTTAGCAGCTGTCTGACCTTCAGAGAATTTTCCCCTTCTGTAAAATGAGGATGGTAAACATTTCCACTTAAGCTTGTTAAGAGAAATAACTGAGATAATAGATGTGCAGTATCTGACATGGTGACTGGCATATAGTAAGTATTCAGTAAGTGTCATCATCATCCTTATATAACTGCTGCTGCTTCTGTTGCCACCAGGTGAGACATAACTATTTGGAAGGCAGAGAGGACTTAATCTTCCTAGGCATTGAGGGCAATAATTCTCTATAATATTAACTTATTTCTTGTTAGTGAATTAAGGCACTTTGGAGTAATGGATGAGGGAGAAAATTTCTACTTTAAGCACACTTACCAATTCTAACAAAAGACCTGCATGGCAATGTATCCTTGCCTGCTTGGATGTAGAACAGGCTTGATGAGATATGACTTTGCTTTAATGACATTGGGACGGGAAACCGCTTAGCTGGTCCTACTGACTTCCTTGGAAATTCTGGCTGCCAGTCATATCCTTTGGTGTCTGCTGCCTTAGGTGATGGCTGAGACCTGAGGGACAGAGTGAGCTACGATCCTGGGAAGCCCATGCAGGGTTTGTAACATGAAGCATCTGTGCTTTGATTTGTGCTGAGTTCATACCTTATTTATAATATCTAATAAAGACCAGACATCACCTTGGCTTCTCATCAAAAACAGCACCAGTCTTTCTATAATCACTAGATTTTCAAAAACATAGGTGGGTTATCTTTATTGGCAAACATGGAAAACATGGATCTTAGCAGGGTGTCTTTTGCCCTACACCAGCCTGTCCCATAAACTAAAGAAATGTACATGTTAAGTCAGGCAAGGGAATAAAACTTGTTACCCAGGCTTTTTTTAAAAATAGGATTTGAAAAGAGAAAGTAGAGAAGACTAAGGAGAGGGAAAAGCGAAAACAAAAACAAACAAACAAACCCAAAACAGAATCCTGTGCTTTCCATAAAGAGTGAGAATTGGCCTTAGACATCCATCCCCTAATAACTGGGATAAGACTGGGAGGCTGGTGATGCTGAGCTGAGAGATGTGTGCATGCAGCTGCGTTCCTCCTCCTGTGGCTCTGTGTGAGAGGTGCATGTGACATGTGGGTCTCTTTTGTCCTCCAGGGAGTGCCTGATGTCCGGCTGGCCTACATCCAATTCGCCCTCTCTTTCTTAATTGCTGGTGATGACAGCACTATAGGGCAAGTGCTGGAGCTGAAAGGTAGGTGTTCCCTTTGTCCCTTAGGAGAGCCCACTTGTTGTGGTTCTGAAAAGCTTGCCTCAAACTGTTTCTTCCAGAAGTCTGCCGCTTTTGCAGCTGCCAGGTACACTGGCATGAAGGACATGTATAGGGCAAATCTATGGGCAATGCCATCTTGATTGCTACTCAGCATGACTGAGCCAGGCATTCCTCCTGTAAAGCTGTCTGGAATGCTGGGCAGTGCCCTAACAAAGGAGCAGTGCAGACCCAGAGAGGCAAGCAAGGAGCCTTTATGACTTTGCCTCTAAAATATACACAGATTCCTAGCCCTTGCTTCCTGGCTTTTCTTAGTAATTCCATTTAAAAAAATAGTTTATAGTATTGGGGAGTAGCCTAGTGGTAGAATGTTTGCTTAGCATGTGCAAGACCCTGGGTTTGATCCCCAATAAATAAAAACTTAGTGAGTTTGCTTCAAGTTATCAGAACATTAGTAACAGGGCTCTGGAAAGCTCACATTTGACCACTTGGTGACTGTCTCTGTAGAACAAGCCTTAGCATAGTTTATTAGGACGATTGTGTTTTTGTTTTTTAATTTTAAATTTTAAATTTGTTTTAATTAGTTATACATGACAGTAGAATGGATTTATATACTTTGATATTCATAGATGGGATGTGATTTCTCATTTTTCTGAGTGCACATGTTGCAGAATCACATTGGTCATGCAGTCTATATATACGTAAAGCAATAATGTCTGTTCCATTCTACCATCCTTCTCATTCCCACATTCCTTCCCCTCCCTTCACTTTCCTCTGCCCAATCCAAGGTAACTCCACTCCTCTCTAGTGTCCCACCTGCCCTTATTGTGAATTAGCATCCATATACTAGAGAAAACATTTGGCCTTTGGTTTTTTGAGATTGGCTTATTTTGCTTAGCATGATATTCTCAAGCTTCATCCATTTAGTAAATGCCATAATTTCATTCTTTAAAGCTGAGTGATATTCCATTGAATATGTATATCCATTCTCTAATGAAGTACGCCTAAGTTGGTTTCATAGTTTAGCTATTGTGCATTGAGCTGCTATAAACATTGACATGGATGCATCACTGTAGTATGCTGATTTTAAGTAGGACCACTGTGTTTTATCAAGAGATTGGGTTTGATGATAAATACAACATAGTTCAGCATCTGGGAATTACTCAGTAAGTTCTTGGAACCATGTCCCATGTCCATGGGTAGAACTCTGAGAGTCATCCTTGGTGGATGACCAGGGTGCTGTATGACCGGTGTCTCCTGGGGGAGCTCTTCTGCCTCTCCCAGGGTGGGAGACGGGAGCTTCCTCCAGAATGGGGTGGGGCAGAGGTCAACCTGTATGTTGTCAGCCTAGTCTGACAGGGCTCCATCACTGCCATGGTAGAACATCATGGAAGAGGAAATGTACTCTCTTTGCATGATGTTGCAGACAATTCTTTCCTTGCTTTGCCCTTTGCCAGGAACTAGGTTCAGGATGTCCTGCTGCTGCTGCTGTTGGGGCAAGGTGTATCTTCATAATTCCCTTGTGTCCTCTCAGCCAGTTGGCATTTAACTGAAGAATAAGGGGCCAAAGGGATAGGTTTCTGCAGGGCAACTGGCCTTATGTATCATAGCATTTAAGATGCTTGATTCAGCAATTTCATGTGTAGTCATTTTTCCTAAGTAGTTAAGGATGCGAGTAGAGATTTGGTTAAGAGATACTTTTATCATATAAACTGGAAATTGGACTCTTATTAACTATCACCAGGAAGAGACTGGTTGAACAAAGGGAGTTCAGGAATATGCTGACATCAGAATTTTTCAGTGTTTTATGATTAGATGTAAACTTAGTCATAAGTTATAAAATATGATCCCATTTTACTGACAGTTAAATAAAGTAGTCTGTATTCATCAGAAGGCTAACAGTTAATTCAGATGTCAGTGGTGTCACCTTTGGGAGTCAAGGTTATGGTTGATTTTAAATCTTATACTTTTGGTTTGCTTGGTATTTTCTGATTTTTTTTTTTTTTTGTAAGAATAATAAATTTGGGGCTGGGGCTGGGGCTCAGTGGCAGAGTGCTTGCCTGGCATGTGTGAGGCACTGGGTTCGATCCTCAGCACCACATACAAAAATAAGCAAATAAAATAAAGTCATGCTGTCCATATACAACGACAAAAAAAAAAAAAAGAATTTTTTAGAAGTTATCTGTGCCCATGAAGCATGCATGAAATGAGTAAAATTGTAATTGTGTCAATGCTTCTATCCAGTGGAACCAGTGCATTAGTAATGACAAAGCCTCTGTCTCCCTGGTGATCGAGAAATATGAAAAGAAAGCACAAAGCAAAAAGCAAACAAAATTCCCCTCGAATTACCCACCACCAGCCAGTAAATTAATGACTCATTTTAAACATTTCTGAGCAAGTCTAAGCAAGAAATAAATTTTAGATTTATCATACTATAAACTCCCTTTCAAATATTCAGTATTGAGATCATTTTACTTAGTGGAAGAAAATGAAAGTAAAATGAGATTAAAAAAATGACTGAACTTCTTAAAAATTATTTAATACTTTAGGTACTCTTAATTTCTTGTGTCACATAACTGGGTTTTCTTACAATGAATTTGTATAATCAAGAAAGATAAAACTTTTTTTAAAGGCACATGTTGTTGTTTTTTGTAGCATTTAAACAGTTATTCTCTCATCTGTTCTCATTTTCTGAGTTTAATGTTTTGAAACTTTTACTTTCAGAATTTATTCCTTGCATTTTTAGCTCAGGCATAAAGGAAGATAGGATTTCTACCATCAACATTTTGTTATCTACCCTGAAAACAAAGGTATGTGTTTGGTGATGGGTGTATGTGTTGTTTGTTTTCTCCTAGTGATTGAAGAAATGGTTCCTGGCATGTTCAGGGCTCTGGAGGCTACAGTTATGTAGGCTAGAGAAAAGCAGTGGGTGGGGATCAGGGATGCTGTTGTACATCTTACAGTGCACAAGACAGCCCCCACTCCCCCCATCAGCTTACCTAAGGTAATACAAATATTACTATAATACAAATAATGACATAGAGGTTTTTTTTTTTTTTTTTTTTAAACCTCCCAGAATAGCAATTTTAAAAAAGTAAATGATAATGCTGGCAAAGATGCTTTGAATGGGGTACTTCATTAGAGAAGGTGTTGTAGCCCTGTGGAAGACAGTTCTGCTACCGTATGTCAAAGGTCTTGTGTTGGTGGACTCTTGAGTTAAGGTCACTCTGAACTGGAGTATCCACCAAAACCACATAGGGATATGTTGAAATACGTGTATGTGGGTCATACCACCAGACATTTTAGCGTGGGTTTGAGGACTTATGTCACATTTCCATTTTTAAGAACCACAGCAGGTTCCTAGTCAGAGATGTAGTGAAGACTGCGAGGACCTGTTCATGGTTTTATGGGGAATAGGTAGAATGTGGAAGCACCTTGATTGTCACCACAGGGGATTGTTTAAATAAGTTGTGGCCTGCTCATGGCATAGAATGGTATTCAGCTTTCAAATGATGCTCTAAAGGAAATCTTTCTTAAGTATTTTTTTTTTTTTTAGTTGTAGATGGACACAATAATTTAAATTTTCTTTATTTATTTTTATGTGGTGCCAAGGATCAAACCCAGTGCCTCACATGTGCTAGCCAAGTGCTGTACCACTGAGCTATACCCCCAGCCCTCTAAAGGAATTGTTAACGATGTGGAAAAAGCTTAGCTGCTTAAGTAAGGGAGGCATGAAACCATATGTAAACGTAAATTTAGTTAAGCAAAAGATAAGCAGTTCTTTAAGCTTCATTTGTTTTACTATTATTTTCAGGTAGTTCACAGTAAAAGTATCACAAAAACACAGAAGGTTCGTTTCTTTACTGGGCAGTTGCTGAACCACATAGCGTCTCTCTACAGCTGGAATGGGATTGTCGACGTGGCGCTGGAAAACCCTGAGGCAGACAAGGTGCAGTCTCAGTTGACCCCAGTGCTGAAATGTGATCCTCAGGAGACTGAAGCATCTGTACTCTAGTCCATACTCAAAAAACAGTCCTCTCATTTGATCTCTTTTCTTTTGGCTATATGGTTATATTATTTGTTTGTTAAACACAATATGATTTTTAAAAATTTTTAATTTTTACAATAGGAATTTTTTCCTAACCTTGGGGTCATTGTGATAGTACACTGTATTTATTTTTTTAATGAGAAAACTATGACTCCCTGTGGCTGACTGACATCTTAAATTCCACATGCAGTGCCCACGCCATAGATTTATAGGGCTCCTCCAGGCTCACTCTTCCTCCTCTCAGTCGGCCTCTTCTTTTTTTCCTTCTCTTTTTTCATATCTAGTTTTTGGAGTTTCAGAGTTTCTTTCTTTTACTTGAGGATGCTGTCTAAGAGACTTCACAGTTCCTTACCTCCTGACTTGGGTAGCTTATTTGTGATAGTTAACTCACGTGTTAAAACAGTTGCTCTCAACATTGACCCCCATGTGTATTGTTTCCTTGTTTTTATTTTCCTTGGGGTATTTCTGAAATGGACTCGGCCAGTGGAGTTGAAGGTGCAGCCTTCCTGTTAACTACATGGTAATTGCCTGTCTAGATTCTGCTGTGCTTCCTTTTATCTCAGTGACTTGCTGGTATCCTCTTGTTTTGAACATGTTTTTTTATGTTCCCATAGCCGGAAGCTCCACAGGCTTAATAAAAAACACTCCCAAATGTGGAATTTTATTCAGAAGTATGAGAAATTAAATCATTTTTAAGCATTTATCAAAACAGGTTTTGACTTGCCTTCCTTAGAGTATTCTTTCATCTTGATCAATATATTTCGGTTGTTTTTCTTTTGTTTTCTTTCGGAATAACATCCAAGTGTTTGATTTTAAATGTTTTCCGAGTTGTTAAAATCAGGCAGGTGATACTGTTTTTTATTCTATAGCTATTATCAAGGTTTATGAGCTTGTGAATCACTGAAGCTTTTTAAACCCTTATAGGTGTCTGCTGAAGAAGCAGGGAAAGCCATGGTGAGGGAGCTTGTACATAACTTCCTGATGGATCTTTGCTGTTCTCTCAAGCATGGCATTAATTTTTATGATGCATCTTTGGGTACCTTTGGCAGGTAAAGTACAACATTCTTATGAACCCCATTGTGTATGCTCCTCAAGTCCTCCTGTGGTAGGTTAGGACTGAAATTGTGGACATTATCTAACTCATTTTAGGGCTGGGCAGTTGGGGGCCCAGAGAGCTTCTATTTGTGTCCCCTCAGGGGCAGAGGCCTCAGTGTAGCAATTGTTCTAGACACATGGGTAATGAAATGTTTCACCGAGGGAAGTGTTCAGTTGTTTACTTAGAGATGGTGGTGGTGGTCAGCTGGATCCAAGAGTGAGTTGCTTAAGTCAGCTTTCCCACTAGGGGAACTCTGACATGACCTCACATGGTCCCAACATAGGTACCATATTATCCTGATTTCCTAGAGGAAAAAAATGGTCACAGAGAGGTCAAGATACTTCAGTTTGCATTTGAACTCAGGAAATCTGGTTCCATAACTGTCTTAATAACTCAGTAGTTGTTAATGATATAACTCCAATACATATTTTTTAAATCACTAAAATAATAAACCTACTTTTTTCTCATTTGACAATAAAAATGTTGGATATGTTTTCTGGTTATTGTGAATGACTTATCCCTCATCCCCCTTTGACTGCATAGCATTTTATTTTAAGGGTTTAGATAGTGTGATTTACTTATAGTTTCAGGTAGTCAGAAAATGCCTGATTCTTTCAGAATGGGATAACGTGATGGGAATTATTCTGCCTGCTTGTGACTTTGCACTCATTTCAATTCTGAGATTATTCTGATTTCAGCTTGCCACATCATTTTTTTCCTTCTTTAAGTTTTCTCTTAGTGAAGTGTATTTATCTCATCATTGTGAATGAGTTTATATCTCTGCTCAAATGTAACTGCATTTTTATAATCTAATAAAAATCTTAACCATGCTGAAAACACATACGCACCCCCCACACACCTTTAAAGTGTTTTTTTTTTTTTGATATTTATTTTTTAGTTGTAGTTGGACACAATACATTTATTTTTATTTATTTATTTTCATATGGTGCTGAGGATCCAATCCAGGGCCTTGCACATGCTAGGCGAGCGCTCTACTACTGAGCCACAACCCCAGCTCCTTTTAAAGCATTTTTACCTCCATAACAAGACCCATGAAATAGATGATCACTTAATGAGCACATTGAGTCAAATTGAGGGTGTGGGTCTTTTTGGAATAACCTGTTGTTTTCATGAATTTTGAAGCCACTAGCATAAAATAAATGCTATGTTGAGGGAGAGGAGGGGAGCTATGTTTGTGGATAGTGATGGGAGGCCTTGAGGAGGTGGAAACACGTGCTTCCCTGACAGTTGTGTGGCTCGTCCCTCTTTTTGTCCAGGTTCCTGTAGAAAAGTCACCTCTTCAGGGAGGTCTGCCCTTGCCACTCTCTCTGAAGTACTCCCTCCTCTGTCAGCGTCTTTTTGCCTGTCTCAGCCTTGTCACTGATTTCAAGAACCAGATGGTATTTTAGGCTTGGCAAGCCATAATTTGTTGTGATTGCTTAGCTGTGCCATTGCAGCACTGGCGTGGCCATAGATGTAGATAAATGGGTGTAACTGAGTTCCCCCAAAACTCTTTACATGTATAAAGCTAGGTGGTGGGCTGTGGTGTGGGTGTGGGTCAAATTAGACAGCTAACCTAGCTAATTTAACTCTGCAGACCTACTCTAATTCTAACGGCCCTGAGACCTTAGCAGATTACATATCCTCTCTGCCTTATTTAACTCATTTATCAAATGGAAATAAAAGTAATGCCTGCCTCAGAGGGGTGGAGCATGGCAACTGCCAGGGGCAGCATCTGGTGTGCGTTGCAACCATATCAGTATAAGTGCTGTTCATTTTATTACACTGTTTATTAAAATAATAAGTATGTGTGGTATTTTTGGCACTATTGGTAGACTTAATGTTCTTTTCATTTGATAGTAGAAACTATATTTCTTTTGTTCATGAAATTTTTATATAAAGAATTTTGCATCTTTTAAAATTTTTTTACACCTTTCTCTTAAAAGAATACTTTTCAAATAAAATTATATGCTAATTCGGTTTTAGAGAAAATTTTATATATGCAGCTATCATTTAGCATTTTAGTTTCAGTCAATTTATGAGGAGATTCAAGACATAGAGCACCAAGACTTCAGGATAGATAAATAAAACCTAGAGTCTGTGCTTTGGCTGTGTAGATCCTGGGGTTATTGCTCTCTTTATGTGATACAGGGTCTGCAAGTTTTCCTTACTTTTACTTTGAATCATCTTTTCATGCTCTCGAAGATCATCTTTTCATACTCTAGAAGAAGGAAAAATTTTGAATACTTTCGAACAGTGGATTTTTCCCAGTACTAAATAAACCAGAAATAGAGGGCAGAAGATGTACACAAAGGCTTTATGCTGTCTTGTAGTATTTTAGAATTAATTTGATGTCATTATGGACCTTGTGGCAACGCATGAGCTCTGACTTCATATGAAAAAAAAAAACTATCAGAAGAAAAATGCCTTTCCTATCTATATTTTTTATACTCACATATATACACAATATATACATATTTAGCTTATGCTTTTTTGTATGGTTGGGGAAATCTGGAGAGGGCAGAACAAAGGGTTTTGGAAGTTTCCACCATAAAGAAATGATAAATGTTTGAAGAGATAAACATGTTTAACCTGCTGTAAACATTATGCAGTGCATCCTTGTATTGCGATGTTACATGGCATTCCATTGGTAGATAGTTTTTAAGATTTTATGTGTTGGCTAAAAAATAAATCTTAAAAAATTAAGGGGCATAGGATGTTATTACTATAAGAACATAATTATTATTCAATAAATGCCCATTGAATTGAATACCAAAGGAAAGGAAGAAAGAAATTGGGGGAGGGAGTCCTGCTTGCTGGTTTTGCCTTGTTTTTTTAAAGTAGCTTTGCCTTCTAGGCAGACTGTAGCTGACTGGCAGCATAAAGAGGTCGCTGTCTTCATTTTAAGTCAAACTGAACTTGAGGGAGGGAAGGAGGAAAGCAGGAATGAGAGTAGGACAAGGTAGGGGCCCTTTCAGCCACTCAGGATTAGGGGGTGGAATTGAAGCCCTCTCCTGTGGCACTGAAACCCTACATGCCACTTTGTACCCTGGGGGACATTTGCCCACTGCCCTGTTACTCCTCTGTCTCTGAGAGTTGCTCCAGCTCTGAGCACATTTTGAATTGTCCTTGTTGACTCTTGCCTCTTGTCTCTCTCCTTAATAGAGGAGGCAACCTGACACTCTTACACTTCTTGTTGGGTTTGAAAACAGCAGCTGAGGATGAGCTGGTGGCTGAGCTTGTGGTGAACATCCTTAAGGTGTGCCCGGACTTGCTGAACAAATACTTCAAGGAGGTCACGTTTTCCTTTCTTCCAAGAGTGAAGTCCACTTGGCTAAATAATATTAAACTACTAAACAAGGTAAAAAGTACCTGTTGGCTGGGGCAGGGCAGAGCATGAGGAGTTGGGGGAATGCCAGGCATTCTGGTCTGGTCAGGTGTGCAAGGGAGGGGGGGGGAGACCTCCCTCCAGGGTTAAAGGGCTATTTTAGATGATGTTAACTTGACCTTATTCTTTGAGTAGAGCATGTTGATTTTCAGTGAGCTGAATTTTGAGCTTTATTTCTTTTGAATCTGTTGATCCAATTTATCTTCCTCATTATGATGTTGCTTTAGGTGAAATCTTGTTAAGTCTGAGCACAATGAAGCCAGAGTTAGTGAAATATCTGAATTGCAGGACAGTTTTTAAAGATTGGTTTCAAGTCCATAGAATAACTTGAAATGAACTATTGGATGTTTGCATCCCCCTCACCAAACATTGGAGGTACAGGTTGAATATCCCTACTCAAAATGCTTGGGGTTAAAAGTGTTTCTGATTTTAGAGTTTTTGGATTTTGAAATATTTGCATAGAAACATGTTGGCATTCAAAAAGCTTTGGATTTTGAATTTTCAGATTAGGGATGCTCATCCTGAACTTATTATACATTCTTTGGCAGTATTGCCTGGCTCAGTTAAGCTTTTTTGCTCTGATTTATGGCCTTCTTAGCGATGAAGTACCTGGGATTATTTTCTTGTGCCTCAGTCTGGACCCAGCATTATCTGTTTCATGTATGAGAATTTAGGTGCATGTGCAGTTCCCATGTGTATTTCCAGGTGAGAAGGATGTGCCTTGCCCCTTAATGGGGGAGGATGGACGTCTTCTGGCAGCTGCTTCTGGTACTGTCCTCCCAGCCTCACTGAGGGGCAAGTGCTTGGTCTCTGCAGCCTGAGTTGAGTCTTTAATTTGACTGCTTATTAAGTAGTATTATTAAACCACATTCCCATGTGGTTCAAGGGAAGTCACTTAACCTCATTGAGGGCCAGTTTTGCCATCCATAAGCACATTTTATTTTTAATGTTGGTTGTCCCTACCCCAAAGGGATCGTGAAACTTTAAAAAGATGATGTGATTTGTCAGGTGCCTGTTAAGTGCAGTGGTTGATAGTGATACCACTGTTAGTTCCAGCAGTGATCGATTCACCATCAGAGGCTCCCCAGACCAGGCCAAGCTCTGCTTTGGAAGTCACTGCTCTGATGATGCCAAAGTGGTAACCGTATTTTTCTTTAACAAGTGAATTTGGGGTTAATTCTAACCTTGCTCCTAGTGGCCAGTCTGACCTTTATTGCTAATTATTTGATTGGAATAGCTTCAGTGTTGGGTTCTGAAAATTAGCTTCAGGTTTAAAACTTATTTCTGGCACCAGTCAAATTTCTTTTCTTTTTCTCCAGATCTATGAGGCCCAACCAGAGGTTTCCCGAGCATTTTGGACCAGAGAGTTTATCCCCTTGCCACGGCTCCTGGCGATGGTGATGGTGACCACAGTGCCCCTGGTGTGCAATAAGATCATGTTCACTCAGGCATTAAATGTAGGTCATGGGTTGCCCCACTTCTGGAACTTTTTCCTGCTAAACTCTCTGGCTGTGTGCTTGAGTGTTCTGAGAATACCAGCCTGACTATTAGATTGTATTTCGTCACAGTGCCTCTGAGGCTTCTAGGACGGGATTTTAGCTTAAAATGGCCCACAAGTGACAAATCTATATATGTGGGGCAAGGACCTTGGAGCGGAAGCCACTCCTTCTAGGTGTGACTGGGGTTCCATATCTGTCCTTCTCCAGCACATGGCAGGAACCTCTGGATACTTCTTGCCTCTCTAGTCCTGCCTAGGGTGGGAGAAATGTTAGAATCAGAAAGGGAAGCTCCTTTATTAAAATATTATCAGTTTAGAATTTTGAGCAGCATGGGGCTGAAATTTGCCAGCAAAGTTTTTCTTTTTTGATTCAGATGATTGGTGTTAAGATTTCATTGCAACATTTATTTTTAGTCATTTTTGAAGGACACGTTGGTGAAAAAAAATAGGTACTTATATTTTACATTTTAATTTATTAAAGAGGTCCCCAGGTCCCATCAGGAGCCACATGCTGAAAGGGCTTGTATATGTTTCACCACAGCATTATGGGTTTAGGTAAATGGCTGTGAGTCGTTGGCACAACTGGGTTCTGGGCCCTGCCAGTCTCTTTTAGGCCTGAGCAACTAAATTCTTCCTGGGGAGAGTAGGCATCTAGGGGGCACCTCTGTCCTTTCAAGCAAGCTGGAATGTATGATGTCAGTAGGAACAGGGTCAGCTTTGTCACACAGACATGAGTTGGCCCAGTGATGATGGCACGGTCACCATAAAGTGGTGTAGACAATGCAATTGAATCTTTTGGTTTCCTCCAGGTTTGTGCTGAGTTTGGGCAGTGGGTCAGGAACAGAGAGGACACCCATGTGGGATGAGGCAGAAAGGTCTTTTGTTCTTTCCTCATAGGAAAATGAGGGCCTATCTAGCTTGTCCATATGTTTTGTGGGAAACACTAATATTTCCCAAGGGGCTCACAGGAAAATGGAACTGAAAGGAATAGATCAGGTATGGCTCTTTTGAGGGCTGCATTTGTGCTCCCACCTGCTTCCTCCTGGCATTCTGAAAGATGAAAGGCTGGCCTCCCTCCCCTCCCTTACAGTGTTGTCTCAAGATCCCCTCAACGGAGTGATTCAGGGAGTGAGGGAGGACACAGTCCTCTCCTGGCGGTGCCATCCTGTGCAGGCCCAGGGCCATTGAGCCCCGTCTTGCCCGTATTCCCAGGTGTCCTTCCCAAGACACCTTTTTCATATGAGTGGGATCCACTGGTATAAGTGGATCTGGGGACTACAATTATCAGTTGATTTTGTTTTCTCCCTTACAGTGTTGCCTCAAAAATTGCTGAAGAGTTAGTTTATTTTAGAAACAGGAAACAAGAAGGACTTATGAGAAGGGGCTTGGGCTTTGTTCCCAACCCTCTAGTGTCATGCGAGCCCTTGCTTGGGGCCTTCTTTTGAAGGAATTGTGGGGTTGCAGACATTACTGGCTCAAGACATTCTGTGTGCCCACTTGGAATAAATCCACAGCTAATAGCAATGCTGGGACACCAAGCTGTAGTGGTTATTAGACTCAAATTTAGTTAGGAGGTCATTTGTTCCTCCTCACTTCAGATCTTGAGTGTCCCACCCAGAGCTGCCATACCAACAAATGTGGCATCACTAGGATCATGTGAGAATGCACAGTTCACTTGAGTTGGTCTGGGCCAGAGCCTGGGCCTCTGTAGCCCTTCGAAGAATGGCACCCCATGATCTGACACCTTCCGTAGGTTAGTGCTGTCACACTGGAGCTATGCTTCCAGCACCTGAACCTCTGAAAGACACGCTACCTTCTGAATCACAGCTTGCTCACTGACCTTGGAGGTGGTTTTTCTTCATGAAGAATCTGACATGTTTTTCTGCCGTCTCTCCCTGATGTGGAATGCTTTTAATAGCAGTGGGTGGGTTCTGGTGAGATTTTGTGCTTTTAATGCAGATAATCTGTGTCGTCTGATTGGTTGTCAGAGAAGGCTTACTGAAAACAGACCACAGAAACCATTAGTAACCACTTTCCTGGCAGCCGCCGAGGTTTGACCCAGAGGATATCTTGGGGGCACAAGGTCTCCAGGTCTCACATTGTAGAGTTTATCTATCTCACATGGCTTTCCCTAGTGGTAACCCAGGAAGGGGCAAGAGCCAGCCAACCCAGTGCTTAGAAATCTAGAGACATTTGTGGATTCAGTGCCTTTTTTCTTCCCAGTTGGATAGCACATCGGTGAGATACACAGCTTTATCCCTTGTTTCTGTCATTTTGAAAAGAGCATTAAAAACCATTGACCACTGCCTGAATAAAGAGTTATGGCAAGAATCAGGCGTGTACACAGCTGTGATGATGGGAGAGTTTGTGCTGCTCTTCAGAGAAGCCCTGAGCAAGGTAGGCACGGGCCCAGGTTTGGCCTTTCCCTACAGACCTCACCATTGGGCAGGGCAGGGTGAAGGGGCCGAGCTGGAAGTACAGAGGGTGGGAGCCAAGTGACGTGTCCTTGAGCCAGAAGGCAGAATGTGGCACAGATGCTGAGGATTAGCTGATAAAAGTGCCACATGTGTTTCACAGTTAGCACAGTCCACAAGTGCTTGGGCAAGGTAAGAATTCAGAAGATGCACTTGGTCTCCCACAGAACTGGTAGTGGAGTTCTGGTTCAGGTGGGACCTTGTGTCTCATCAGGGGCCATTGTTGTGCCCCTTCCCTTGCCCAGTGGCCCACTGCTGCACACATGTGCTGAGTGTACTGTAACCTACATGAGAAGGGGCTAGGTGACTAGGGAAGCCCCCACCCTTGGCTGATTCTGCTAATAAGGAAGGCCAGACTCTTGCAAACTGGTCAGCTGCTCTGAGAGTAACCGGGTCGTTTGGGCCAAGTGCCCTGGAGCTGGTCCTCAGGAATCATCTCTTCAGGCCCATAGTCTAGCCTGCTGAATGAGTCTTCAGGGGCTTGTTCTCATTATTAGCTCTGTTGTTTTCACCAAAGCCTATGTATAGTTCCAGAAATTACACCACAGAACAGAGCTTAAAAGAATGTGGGCCTGTTCTCACCCAGCCTCTCACCTTTTTCTTATGCACTAACACTCATATACTAATATTCACACTCATGCACACGTGCCCCTCCCCCTCTGCATCTTGCTTCCTGTTAGTATGCTCAGGTTCATTTATTTCTCTTCATTGTTTACTATGATGATTTGTTGGCTTTTTCCTATTTAGATTTTGCCAGACCTGAACACTATCGTGTGGGTCTGGCAGTCACTTAAAAAGCAAGAGACAAAACAGGATGATATGAAAGGGAAGAAAAGAGGTGACAGGATTCCAGCTGCCGATGTGACTCACCAGAGTGGTAAGGGCTTCTGGATGGGGGGAATCTCTTGTTTGTCCAGGAAAGAGCTGACAGTAGCCTGGGATGGCTCCTACCTAGAGGGGCCCCTCTGGTGGTGAATGTATCTTTTGTCCTTTTTTGGCTTAGGGCAAGTACTGTCTCTCTGAAAACTTGAATTCTGTGTGTCATATGCTCTGGGCTTTCACTTGATAGGTGTGTGGATTAGGGGGCTCTTTTGCTCTGTAGATGGAAGTGGGCTACGTGGTCCCCCTCATATTAAAATATATTAACTTGACCTTGTTGACCAGGTAATGAACTTTGTCTCTCCTATCTAGATCCTGTTGAATCCTTACAGAAATCCTATAGGTGTGGGCCCTGCTGTATATCTCCAGAGCTCAGATGAGGACACAAAAGCACAGAGAGAGCAGCCACCCTTTCCATAGTCTTAGCCTTTTTCTTTTTGTTGATGCCTTACATCTTGTCATGGGGATATGTCGGCAGCCTTAGTGTTGAGTATGCTATTGATTGCTATACAGTGTCACAGGTGGCTCAGCCACTTCCCAGTCGAAATCCAAGAACAAGGACATTTCCTAATCCAGCCTGTTTTCTTTTGGTGCAGACGATGCAGAAACCATACTTTTGAAAGCCATTCTGCTCCAGGTCATATGCCTCTACCAGAAGGTGGTCCCCCACATGGTCATGCAGTATAACTTTGACTTCAGCAAGCTCCTGAAAGGTTTGTATTAGTGGTTGCAGAAAAGCTGCTGCTCTTTCCACCACGAGGCTGAAGTAGGCACTGATAAACGTGAGCAGAGCTTCAGACTGAGGATCAGGAAAGTTGGGGGTGGTTTACTGGCATATTAAATATTAACTGAACACTTAGCATAGGCAGTAAGTGTGAAGAGGGGAGAAGCCAGCCAGCCTGAATCCACAGCCCAGATCAGGTGACATTAATTGTAACACTGACTTTCAAGGGAGCAGAGCATGCTGCAGAAAAGAAAGCCCCATGGAAGGGACATCCCACACCATTCATGCAGAGGCACTTGAAAGTAGTTACCTCGTATTTTTACCTCAATGAGTTGGGTTCAAAACATTTCTCATAAAAGTAACATTATGCTAGTCTGGTCATGGCTCCCTAATGGTCAGGTTTGCCTGATAAAGTTGACTTTGCTATTGGGCCTACAGAGGAAGACTTGCAAAAATACCATTCTTGGCATTTATATAAGCTATTGAAATAGTCCTTTTTAAGAGCTGTAATTAGCTTTTTAAATTATTTGAAGGTGAAATGTTTTCTTTGCCTTGAGAATATACTAGAGTATTGCCATTTAGGACTTAGTAGTTGTATCCTTCCCAAGCAAAGGACAAACCCAAAGACCAGGCTAAAGGATAAGGGCCCTATCTCAGGCTCAGCGACCACAGTACAGTCTCTGTCCACAAAACACCTGCCCCGTGGGCAGTAAGGCCTGCATCCCATGTAAGGAATAACATCAGGGAGGGCCCACACTTAGAGGCCATGATTCCAGGTATAGGCCAAGGCCAGCATGGGCTGAGTGATGGGTAAGGGTTATTTTGGGCAAGGGAAATTTGAGCTTTTTATTGAAGAATTTGGATAGGCCTGGTAGCAAGGCATGTCAGGGGCAGCATTTCTCACATAACCTGTGTGAGGGAGCATAGGACATGGGGACAGACCCACATCCTTTTTTCTTTCTAGATATGGGGTTCCTCATCTGGTCCTTTTAGCCAGGGTAGCAGTTGCCAGGCACCCACACCTGAATGACTCTTTGTCTGTGTTTAATTCTAATTTGTTATATATGACAGCAGAATGCATTACAATTCTTATTACACATATATAGCACAGTTTTTCGTATCTCTGTTGTACACAAAGTATATTCACATCATTCATGTCTTCATGCTTGTACTTAGGGTAATGATGTCCATCTTATTCTACCATCTTTTCTACCCCCATGCCCCCTCCCTTCCCCTCCCATCCCTTTGCCCTATCTAAAATTCGTCTAATCCTCCCATGCTTTCCCTCCTAACCCCACTATGGCATTTGGATTTTTAGGATTGGCTTACTTCTTGTCTGTGTTCTTCACTTCCATCACAGGCATCATCTCCGAGCAGGGCCTGAGAAAGGAGGTGCCACCCATCCTGCAGCACCACATGCTAAAAGTGGCCCTGGAGCTGCCTGCCAACAAGTTTCTATGGTTGAAGACACAGGTGGGAAGTAGAGATTTCCAGATTTGCTGGGCTTGTTAGCTTCTATCTCAGTGCTTGTTTTTCTTGTCATTTAAAAAAAAAATGTAAATAAAATACATTCCTTCTCCTTTGTCCTCATGGGAATAGACACCAAGCCAGGTCAAGCAAAGGATTAAGGGAAGGTCAACAAACACTGCTTACAGCACTTTGTATCTCAGGAACATCTAGGAGCTTTTATAGAGCATGATGTTGACTCATGGAGGGAAGTTCAGCATGCAGGAAGGAGGTGTTTTCCTGTGGATGTTTAGCTGGGTGCAGTGATACACACTAACTGTTCGGGAGGCTAAAACAGGAGGATCTGAGTCAAGGCTAGCCTGGGCAACTTAGTAAGACCCTGTCTCAAAATTTTAAAAGTAAAAAGATCTGGGGATATAGCTCAGTAGTAGAGCATCATGGGGTTCAATTACCAGTACTGAAGAAAAAAAACAAAACAACAACCCCTGTGTTTTTTTGTTACTCCTGTGCAGTGAGGGAAAACTGGCCAGCCAGACTAAAGCATTGTCTAAGCATTGCTTCTTAGTAGCTCACATTTTTTTAATGACTTAGATCTTATGTTGAATTTTTATAGGAACTAATACCATGGAAAGGCATGTTGGACTTTATACAAGGGGTATTTCCAGAAGGGTCTAAGAATGCTGTGTTGCTGGGGTACATGTATGCCCCCTGCAGTCATTTTGCTAAGGTTCCGTTCATCACAGTTGAAGCCCACTCTTCCTGAGGACTTCCCATGTGCTAGGCTGTGTGCAAATGCTTTATAGGGCTGCTCTGTTCCCACCACCTAGAGACAAGGTGCTGGGGCAATAAGCACAAGTTCAAGGCCCCAGCTGTGAGTTGAGGTCCAGGAGGGGCCCAGGCATACCTCTCAGAATCCTTCTGTCAGCTTCCTACTGAGCTGTGAGGCACTGGACCCCACCCCAGAGAGGCAGTAAGTGGGGAGTGTCATTGACTGTTTTTCACTCTTGCTGAACTAGGCTAATGGTCTTGATGATTTAGTTGGAGACTGACCAGAGGCCTCTTGCTGTGGCAGAACTGGTTTAAAGACATTAATTTGTATACTGTGCTCCACCTTATGCTTGTAAGATGCATCTGCTGGCATGGTCTGCTAGGCTGAGACCCCAGCACTTTACATGTTTGGTGTCATCCTCATTGCCAAGGGCTATGGTGAGTTTTGCAGACTCGACAGAATATGAGCTGGGGATTTGGAGCTCCATGCACTTCTTTTTGGTCCTCGTTATTTTTATGATATATAATTATATATATAGGCATGTGTTCTAAACCCAAAAGCCTTTTAGGAGTATAAGTTGCATATAAGTAGTCAATTATATTTGCACAAGCATCTGATAAAGTAAACCCATTGCACCCTTAGACAGTGTCAGATGGCCTCCGTTCCCTCTTCACCACCCACCAAGTATACTGTGTCTACTCCAGGGCTCCCTAAGCTTGGTTCCCAGGAAACAGCCAGTTACCTTCTGGTGCTTTAGTTCCCACATCTGTAAGATAGGGTAGCAGCTATTCCACCACCTCCAGGGTTGGAGAAAGGGGTTGAGTACAGTGTACGTTAAGAGCCTAGAACTTTGCCAGCACGTGGAGAGGGCTGCCTGTGTTTACTGTTTGACTTGCTGTTATAAGGGTGCTGTTGGGGGGTTTGAATAAGTTGAGGTTCCTTATGTGTAGAATAACTGTACTCTTGCTGAATGATAGTTAAAATGAGATGAGGTGGAGGATCTGGCAGTATACTGGACATGTAGTTACCTGTTTCCTCAGCAAGTAATGGTCCTTGTTATTTTTATGATATATAATTATATACTAAAATTTAATGTATGTGTATATTTGTGTGTGTGTGTGTGTGTGTGTATATATATATATATGTATATAAAATTATACATATTGAAAATAAATTATTCAATCTCTAGGAAGGCCCAGATATAGAAATCATTGGAGGAGAACGATCAGTGTTTTACTTATTGATGAAAATGTTTGTGACCAGTAGCCATTTACAGCTCAAGTCATCGACCAAACTTCTGATCATAAAGGTGAGCATCTTCTGCCAGGTTTTAATTCTGGAAAGCATTTGTATAGGTCTTCCTTATAATAGGTGCTTAGGGAGCAATTGTTGAATTCGGGAACTGTTGTAAAGTTTACAGCAGAGGGTTTTAGGGTAGTTTTAATTTAGTGTGTCTTAGCTGCATTCCTGAGAAGCAGCATGGTGATGGGATAAAACATGGGCTTTGAAGTGTGATTCCTGGATTTGAATTCTGGTTTGGTTCTATATCTTCCTGGGTTGCCTGGATAAACTAGTTAACTTCTCTGAATTGTTTTCCCATGGTGAATGGAAACAATAAGACCATAGGGTGGTAGAAAAGATTAAATGTAATAAAGTAGTAGCCTAGCACATTGTAGACTCAGTAAATACCATATGTACTCTGGGGAACCATTTAATAGTCAATGCTTGCTCTCTCATCCCTGGACTCTGCCTTCTCTGAAGCTTTCAACCTTTTTGATCTTGTCTGTTACCCTCAGCATAGGTGTCACCAAAGTCAGTGGGAGAGAATGAGGGCTTTGTTTACTTCTCTTTCTCATATGTGGTTCTCACTTTTCCACAATTGCCTGAGGTCTTACTATAGTGTAGCAAGTATAAATAAGTATAAACAAATTTATTCTAATTTGTTATATATGACGGCAGAATGCAATTCATCTCATATTACACACTATACTTGCTATAGTATAGCAGGGAATCTATTGCCTCATTTTTGCTCTGCAAAAAATATCTTGGGGGGTGCTACAAAAACCACATTCACTGTTTTTAGGGTACAGAGATGTGACCTTTCACTTTATTTGAAGGGTTGATAATCTCACTTTACTTTCTCCATCTCACCTGAGCTGCCTGAAGACCATGGCTGAGTCTTTGCCCCTGCAGGTTGCCCTTTCCATTCAGGTAGTGCAGGTGTGAACTCAAGGGCAGACACATTTTATCATCACTAGTGGCAGATGAGTGGAATTGATACACTGCAGGGTTTGGGGTGCATACCCTTCGTTACAGGGCTCTGTGCTATATGGGTGTTTAACTCCTCAAGTCTCTGTCATCAGATCATTAGGGGTGTCATTTATTCAGCCCCATAGATTCAGATCCTGCCTGGTACCAGATTCTGTTCTGGTGGTGGTGCTTCTTGCTCAGGTCTGGGTCTTGAGGTACCACATTGAAATGCTATGGTGTGCCTGGCTGTGTCCTTGGGGGTTTCCTATAGGCCAAAGGTTGAGTTGCTATGACGGGTCAGTTATTCCACGTTTACCTAGGTCTTTGTGAAAATCCAGGTGGAATGCCAGCCCCTAAGTGGCAGACGACTCTTTCCCCTTACAAATTCAGGAAATGGGGGAAAGGACTAAGCAGCAGTGAAAGGGGAATCGCATTGTCTTGGATAGACCATGAAATGATTCCTTTTCTTAGGTTCCTTCCATAATGGGGGTTATTTGGAAGCAACAACTTTTAAACTAAACCTTTAGATAATACATTCATGCTCCCTGGTTTCCACTTAATGCTGGGGAAGCATGAAACTACCATGGCTCCCATGGAAAGTGGATTCTGTTCTGACCCATGCTGTGGCATTACTTGCTCACAGATCCTGCGGGACACAGGCGTGTTTGAGCACACATGGAAGGAGCTGGAGCTCTGGCTGGAGCACCTGGATAGCACTGCAGAGGAGAGCAAGGAAACTGTGATTCAGTTTCTGGAACGGGTAAGCCCAGATCCTTACAAGGAGGGATGTGTTCTGGAGTATGTGTGGCTTTCTCTCAGCACCCTCAGAGATTGTGATGGGCCAGCACCAGAAGGGTCCTTATCTCAGCTGGCTTCTTTTTATTATTATTATTATTAAATGATTTATTCTAACTTGTTATATAAGACGGCAGAATGCAATTCATTTCATCTTACACATATAGAGCACAATTTTCAAGTCAGTGGTTGTACACAAAGTATTTTCACACCATTCGTGTCTTCATCCATGCACTTAGGGTAATGATGTCTAACTCATTCCACCGTCTTTCCTACACCCATGCCCCTCCCTTCCCCTCCTTCCCCTTTGCTCTATCTAAAGTTTCTTCATTCCTCCCATGTTCCCTTCCCTTCACGATTATGAGTCAGCATCCTCATATCAAAGAAAACACTTGGCCTTTGGTTTTGGCTTACTTCACTTAGCATTGTATTCTCCAATTCCATCCATTTACCTGCAAATACCATGATTTATTCTCTTTTAATGCTGAGTAATATTCAATTGTGTATATATACCAAAGTTTTCCTATCCATTCATCTACTGAAGGGCATCTGGGTTGGTTTCACAATTTAGCTATTGTGAATTGTACTGCTATAAACATTGATGTGGCTGCGTTACTATAGTATGCTATTTTTAAGTCCTTTGGGTATAAACCAAGGAGTGGGATAGCTGGGTCAAATGGTGGTTCCATTCCAAGTTTTCCAATGAACCTCTGTACTGCTTTCCATATTGGCTGCACCAGTTTGTAGTCCCACCAGCAATATATGAGTGTGCCTTTTCTCCCACATCCTCACCAATGCTTATTGTTGTTTGTATGCTTGATAACTACCATTCTGATTGGAGTGAGATGAAATCTTAGTTTTGATTTTCATTTCTCTTAATTGCTAGTGATGATGAACATTTTTTCATATATTGGTTGATTGATTGTATAACCTTTTCTGAGAAGTGTCTGTCACTGTCCTTGTCCCATTTATTGATTGGGTCATTTGTTGTTTTTAGTATTAAGGTTTTTGAGTGCTTTATATATCTTAGAGATTAGTGCTCTGATGTGCTTGTGGTAAAGATTTGCTCCCATTCTATAGACTCCCTATTCACCTCACTAATTGTTTGTTTTGAGGAGAAGAAGCTTTTTAGTTTGAATCCATCCCATTTATTGATTCTTGGTTTTAATTCTTGGATTATAGGAGTCTTATTTGGAAGTTGGGGCCTAATCTGACATGATGGAGATTTGGGCCTACTTTTTCTTCCATTAGGCACAAGGTCTCTGGTTTAATTCCTAGGTCCTTGATCCACTTTGAGTTCAGTTTTGTGCATGGTGAGAGATAGAGGTTTAATTTGATTTGGTTACATGTGAATTTACAGTTTTCCTAGCACCCATTTGTTGAAGAGGCTGTTTTTTCTCTAAAATACGTTTTTGACACCTTTGTCTAATATGAGATAACTGTAATTATGTGGGTTTGTCTCTATGTCCTCTATCCTGTGCCATTGGTCTACAGGTCTATTTTGGTGCCAGTACCATGCTGTTTTTGATACTATTGCTCTGCAGTATAGTTTAACATCTGGAATAGTAATGCCACCAGCTTTATTCTTCTTGCTAAGGATTGCTTTGGCTATTCTGGGTCTCTTAGTTTTATCCAGATGAATTTTATGGTTGCTCTTTCTATTTCTATGAAGAATGTCATTGGAATTTTGATTGGGATTGTGTTGAATCTGTATAGTGCTTTTGGTAGTATGGTCATTTTGACAATACTAATTCTGCCTATCCAAGAACAAGTTAGATCTTTCCATCTTCTAAGGTCTTCTTTAATTCTTTAGTGTTCTGTAATTTTCATTGTAGAGGGCTTTCACCTCTTTCCTTAAGTTGATTCCCAAGTATTTTATTTATTTATTTATTTTTGAGACTATTGTAAATGGGGTGGTTTTCCTAGTTTCTTTCTGAGGATTTGTCACTGATGTACAGAAATGCCTATGATTTATGGGTGTTGATTTTATATCCTGCTACTTTGCTGAATTAATTTACTAGTTCTAGAAGATTTCTGGTAGAATTTTTTGGGTCTTCTAAGTATTGAGTCATATTGTTGGCGAATAGTGATAATTTGAGTTCTTCTTTTCCTATCCATATCCCTTTAATTTCTTTTGTCTAATTGCTCTGGCTAGAGTTTCAAGAACTATGTTAGATAGAAGTGGTGAAAGAGGGCATCCCTGTCTTGTTCCAGGTTTTAGAGGGAATGCTTTCAGTTTTTCTCCATTTAGAATGATGTTGGCCTAGGGCTTAGCATAGATAGCTTTTACAATGTTGAGATATATTCCTGTTATCCCTAGTTTTTCTAGTGTTTTGAACATGAAAGGGGTGCTGTATTTTGTCAAATGTTTTCTCTTCATCTGTTGAGCTGATCAAATGATTTTTATCTTTGAGTCTGTTGATGTGATGAATTACATTTATTGATTTCCGGATGTTGAACTAACCTTGCATCCTCGGGATGAGCCCCACTTGATCGTGATGCGTTATCTTTTTAATACGTTTTTGTATTCGGTTTGCCAGAATTTTATTGAGAATTTTTGTATCTATATTCATTAGAGATATTGGTCTGAAGTTTTCTTTCTTTGATGTGTCTTTGACTGGTTTTGGAACAGGGTCATATTGGCCTTATAGAACGTGTTTGGAAGTGTTCCCTCTTTTTCTATTTCATGAAATAGTTTGAGGAGTATTGGTGTTAGTTTCAGCTGGCTTCTTAATTCTGCTGATACCTCAGAATCCACTCAGTTGTAGGATCTGTGAAAAAGGAGCAAGTCACTGCTTGCTGTTTCATTTCCTTTCAGGAGTTTTTGCACAGGGGAATAGGAATAGACTAAATGCAGTATTAGAGGAACAGTATGCAAAACAGAGGTTTGTTTTGTTTTGTTTTAAATCTAATTAAAAGTTAAAAAAACAAGAACTTTACAATAAAACTACTCACTAAGGACTGTTAACATTTTTAGTTCTTGATTTTTGACCATTGGCTTTTTGGCCTTTTTTTCCCCAAAACTCATGACTATCTAAATGTTTTCCATTTGGCTTTTTACTGCCCAGATTTTACTGACATTGGTGGCAAATCCTTATTCATACACAGACAAAGCATCTGACTTTGTCCAGGAGGCCAGTACACTGCAGGCCACCATGACGAAGCAAGATGCCGACGATGCCAGCATTCCTGTGTCCCACATTGATGGTAGGTACTGAGGTAACCCTCCCCCGTGCTGTGCAGCTTGTGTTCTGAAGATCAAGCCACAGTGGTATATTAGCCACAGAGAATGGGGCTGCACTAACGCCTCAGGCAAAGTGCTGATGACCCGTTTCTTGGTGTCAAAAATCTGCCTGTTCCAGAAGTTTGATGCATTTGTTTATGTAATGAGCAGTATGTGCAGAGGTTACATGCTGGATTGTTTACTCTGTGCCAGGTGCTTTTGCAAGCTTTTTACAAATCTTAATCATGTAAACCTCATAAATAACTTTTGGGTAAGACCACACTGCTGATCTTAATCCAGGTAAACCTTACCTAAAAGGAAGGTATTATGGTCCTGGTCCTCATAATATGTAGATGAAGCAGCTGAGGTACCTAGAGAGTTTAGAAACTTGTTCAAGCTCATGCAATTACAATGGAGTAAAGTCAGGATTTCAACCCAGACTCTCTGGCTCTGGTCTGTGCTTTAATCCTCAGACTCTTGCATCTCAAATTTGGCTAGTTTTCCAGTTTAAAATCCCTGGGTTTCTCGTGATACTTGAGAATAGTTCAATCTGTTCTCAACTTGGCTGAATATTCTGCATTTTGTCAGAGATTATAAAGACTTCTTAGGCAATGTCTTTGTTTAGAATCTGACTGTATTGAGTGTTTTCCCCCAAGAGAAGTTGAGATTTGTTTCTCCTCATGTTTCTCCCTCCCTCTGGGACTGTTTGACTGGGGTCTTCTGGTGGCTCTTCTCTCAGTTGGACTCCCTTCTCCTGTCTTCTGTCTCAGATGTGCTGGACATGGTGGACGTCCTGGTGGAGGGCAATGAAGGCTTGGATGAGGAAGTTGGATTCTTGTTAAATGAAGACATGATCCTGCTCACATTCCCATTCAGTGCGGTGGTCCCTGCAGCCCTGGAAGCCAGGAATAAGTTGCTCCTTGGGACAGAAAATGAAGCAGGTACCTGTACCTGCTATTCTGGTGGCATTGGGCCAGCTGGGTCTTGAGGAGTAGGATTGCAGGGGCTCTAGAAACAGTCACTAAGAACACTAAGAACCCCAGGCAGCAAGAGTTCAGACCCACCAGACTAATAACTGCTTGCCAACCTGGCAGAGCTCAGAGTGCAGCATATAGGTCCTGAGGCAAGTGCTGAGACTGGCCTTGACTTGTGGTCTTCCTGCCTCCACCTTGAGTTGCTGGGACTCAGTCATGTGCCACTGTGCCCAGCTTACTATTTTTGATATCCCGATGATGAGGATGAGTCCTTCATACTTCCTGGGTTTTCCAGGCAACTCAGACCCAAGGAAGCATCCACAGGTCGCATTGGTGTAATTAGACAGGACAATCCAGGCTTTGCTACCGTAATAGGTCAGACCCTACATGTCAGGGGTCTAATGTCATAATCTAGTACAGGCTGTTCCCAGTGGTTGTCTTCCAGTAGTTGATTCAGGAATCCAGGTTGCTCTTGATTTAGAGCTGTGCCCTCTCAACATGTGGCTTTGAGGATCACTGGAAAGGGGAGAGAGTGGACAATTAAGGAAGAGATGTTGTGGCCTAGAAGGGACAAATCCTTCCAGCCCCATTCTACCCACAAGAGGGGGCTCATGTGCGGAAGCAGAGGGAAGGGCCTAGTGAACCATAGAAAGTCCTAGGTCCAGGTGGCTTTGGACTTGCTTCTTATATGCCACTTCCCTGCCTCAGGACCTGAGATCTGACCATGAACTGTCTGTTTTATAAAGTAGAGCTTACAACAGTCTGTGCTGTAATACCTACCTCCCCATGTGGGCATGTGACTCCTAATAGAATTGCTTGAATTTTTCTGGGTCTTGCATAGTTGTGGAAGAAGGTAGTCTTGGTGGCCCTTAGGAAGGCACTTGTGGCAGGCCTTTTCCCACATGCATCTTGCTCCTTTGCAGGGGAAAGCATCGTGACGTATCTGACAGCAGTGCTGACCGACCTCCTCCACACCCAGAGGGACCCCCTGGCTCTGTGTCTTCTCCTCCAGGCTTATGACAAGTTTGAGCCTCCGGGCCCACCTTGCTGCCCTCAGCTCTCCAGGTTTAGCAGATATTACAGCCTTTGGATCCCAGAGCAGGCCCGAGAGCCCTGGGTGAGCTATGTCTGTGATCGCTGCTCCTGCAGAGGGTTTTTTCCTATGAGCCACAGCTGCCTGTGCCACTGCTGTACAGCTTGCAGGGAGAAGTTGCTAACCTTCAAGTTTCCCCTATGTAAGAGAGGACGCTAAGTGGTGACACTGCTGCTCAGCTGATATGACTGAAACACAGAGGACTCAGTGTCCAGCAAGATTATATTTCCCACTGGTTCCATAGTGATGACAGTTGGCTTATCACTGTTTCAGCTTAGGACAGTAGGTTGTCTTTCTTTTTTTGTTTACTGACTGGTGTGTGACTTGTTGTCACTGTCTTCTGTGAACCTTAGCATTTTCCTAGATTTCCCATGCTCACTGGCAGACCTGCTCACTCAAGGTCCCTAGCAGGTTTCATTCTGCTAAACTGGGATTTTTTTTTTTTTTTTTTTTTGGTGGAGGCTATGTTATAATGGGATTCTAGCTGCAGGGCAGAGTATTTATAAAAGCCGTGTGGAGCCAGTTAACTTTGCTGTATGCATTTTTTGTGGATTCATTAAATTTCACTGTAGTTGAGAAAGCAGACATGTTAGGGCCCTTTTCTTCTGAACAGTAGCCACACTGATTGCATGTTTTCTGTTTATTAGTGCATTCCCAGCCCCATACTAAGCACACTGTATGTATTTTAAGCCCTTTAATCCTAACAACAACTCTTGAGAAGTAGGTCAAGACTACTACCACCCTTTATATACATGGAGAAACTGAGGCAGAATGAGCCCACAACCAGCCAAGGTTAGAGTCAGGATTTGGTCCCAGCATTCTGGCTCTAGAGCCCATGTTGGTAACAGCTGCTGCCACCTTGCTCTGCACAGAGGCCAAGCTTCTGGCCAGGTGGTTGGTTGCTAGTGTGGAGCTGCTGGATGCTCTGTGCTGCCTCTTCTGGACACTCGGTGTTGGCGTCCCTGCTCAGTTGTGTATGTACAACAGAGGCTCCCACTTTCAGGGTGCATTGGAATTCCCTGGGGCTTGTTCAGATTTGGCTGGCATGCACAGCATTACCCAGCATGTCCCAGGTGGAGCCTGAGAATCAGTGCTTCTCAGCCTGTCCTGGTGGTACTGCTGTGCTGGTCTGGGAACCCCACTTTGAAAACCTCTGAGTTTGGGGGGCATGTGTGACATTGGGTTTATTATCCTGAGGAAGTTAAGTGTTTGGAGTTATGCTAACAAAAGTTATGTGGAGTAAATAAAGAGGGCAGTAGGCAGTTTTGTCAGAAGAAATGAATGGCTTCTGTTTGAGACAGGTTGGCTCCAGAAATTTCCCTTCATTCTGTTTGTTGTTTTCCTGTCCTTCTGACAAAATACGGGTCCCTGGGCTCATGGGAGACAAGTAGCTCCAAGGACCCCTCTGGTCTGGGCTTTTCTGTTTCCGGGGATCATCTATCCTATAGTTAAAGCCTTGTCTGTGTGGCACAGGGCTCTGCTCTGCAGGGTCTTTGTGCCTTCCTCTAGATGCCATATGCTCTGTCAGCAGAAACACACTCTAGGAAAATATGTGGGGCTGGTAGCGTTGGAATTAAGTCTACTAAAATGCCACACAGTTTTCAGTCTTTAGCATGATTTTCATGAGGTGTCCTTTGTTACGTGTGTCACCTTGAGTTCATCACCTGTACGCACTGCGTTATGTCATGGTAATTTGTCTTTTATGCTGTCTCTTGCTGTCTCCATCAGCTCCTACAGGCATTAAGCAGCCTTGTACCCCACGCACCTCCAGAGGCCTCCTGCTTCTCTGCCCTGCTGCAGACGGCCTATGAGAGCCAGACACTTTTGGAAGAGTGCATCCAGGCACGGCTGCAGGCTGCCATCCCACACCTTGCCCAGCACCAAGTCCTGCGCTCAGCCAAGCAGGTGCTGCTCTGCCTCAGGACCACTGTGGAGAATTTCGGCCAGGTCAGTGTTGTCTTCCAGCCCTCGTGTTCCCAGCGCTCTACCTGCAGGGAATGTGGCCTTGGAGCTGGTCCCCACCACAGGACAGGATTTCTAATGGTCTGGGGCCACAGAGCAGGCCTATGACTCAGGAATCTGGACACCCAGCTGTGTCTCCCCCATGCTGGCCGCTCGTTCCTGGATTAGGCATGCAGAGGCAGCAGCATGTCTCTTGGCAGCAGATGCGGCCACAGTTTGGCATGGGGTAGCCCTGCCCCTCTTAGAGTAGACTGGGTCAGCAGCATGGCAGGCCCCCTCCTTTCCTGAGTTGATTAATCCAGTAGCTGACCATCGAGCTTTTCCCTGTTGTGGTATATAGTGTTCCAGGTTAGGTTGAGGTTGTCTCATCCCCCTTAACCAAACTAATCCTTTGTGTTTCACCCACGTCACGAAGACAGGTGTCTCATTTGAGAGACGACTCAGGGTGGTTGTTCACGAACACAAACACTGTGTGTAAAAGGCCTTGGCATCTCAGCCTGCTCCCTTGAGTCTTCTTTTCTTTCCTGATTACCCAGGGACCTGGAAGTCACTGCTGGGTCACCAGGAGCCCTCCCTTCTCTGAGACTCATGTCGTTCTCACCCTCACAGCTGGGCAGAAGTGTGGGGCCCCCCCTCCTGCAGCTCTTCCTGGACCTCCTGAGGCTCTTGGTTATCCACTGTGAACAGTTGGATGCCCAGAACCGACAGAAGTGTGAGGCCGCCCAGGCCGAGTCTGACCTTTTTCTGGACATGGAGTCTGTGGCCTCACTGGAGTTGGCTGATGACCAGGTACTACCACCTCTTTCATAGGCAGCCTGTTAGCCTTTTCCCTAAGGTCACAGAGAGGGATAGATAGTGGCTTTCTGTGTGTGTGCTTCTGATTACAAATATGTGTTTACTAAAGAACAGTAGTGAAATGCAGAAAACTTAGCAGAGATGTTGACCTCATAACCCCCACCCAGGGGGGGGTTTCCAGTTAGTCCTCTGCACAGTCACCCCCTCCCTCCGCAAGCACCCCCTCACATCACATGCTGTGAGCCTCTTGGGAAGCCTGTGCTGACCAGAATGGGCAGTGGGAGCCCTTTGTGAGCACAGGAAGTACAGTGCTCTGAGAAGCAGCCTGTGTCTCCTGTCTTTAGTCTTGTGCAGCAGGCTATTGAGGTGGGTCGGGTATGTGTTCTACAGTGTGCCATGTAGCTGTTCTGCTGGGCTGCAAAGGCAAGCAAGTTCCTTATTCATAGTCTTCTTGAGACAACTTTTTTATTTTGATCTCTATCTTGACGTCTGAGAGATGTGTCTTCCCTGTTTCCAACTGGCAAAGCTCTGTTGGGAAGGTGGTAGGCTCCTCCCTTAAGAAAAATGAGGTAAGAAAATGCATTCCTGTCCCTGTGGACTACAGGAATTCCTGGCCAGAAGTCAGGTTCAGCAGGGTTCCACAGGACAGCTGAACCAAGTCATTCTCCAACTAGCCAAGAGCTGCTCTCTGGGCAGTGCTTTAAACTTGGTTGGGCCAGAATTAGATTCTCAGAGTCCCATGAGGCCAAGTGTCCTGAGGTGGAGGCAGGATTAACTTCAGTCAGGACACCTTCCCAAGACACATGGTCTGAGCTGTGACCACTTGATCCCAGTTGTCGGTAGACACCACATCCCTCTACCAGATTTTGCAGGGCAAGGCTTCTGGGAGACCAGAAGGTGGCTTATCTTAATCACATTTTGCATTCGTGTGTGGCCCACCCTCTGCATTGGGTGGCCGGGGAGAGCAGCTTTGCCGTACAGTAAGTCCACTCTGGCTGGTTGCATCAGACATGCTCGTGAACCTGGGTCAATGCCTTGCAGGGAGGAGCAGTCTGTCTCCCGACCAGTGGGTCAGCAGTTGGGCTACAGCGCTGCCTCCTCCTCACTCTCATGGCAGTGAGTGCTCCCTGGCAGCTGTGACTCCTCCTTGACCCTGTGCCTCATATGAAGTATGTCACTGTCTCTGTCTTTCAGACACTGGATGAGGTGCTAATGGCCATCCTCAGACACCCGACACTGGAGGGCTGGTTTCTTGCCCTGGAGCAGCAGGCACTGCCCCCACACACGCTCAGCCCCATCCTCGTGAAGCTCCTGGCGACCCACTTCAGTACAGGGGCCCTTCAGCTGCTGGTGGTGAGTGCCCCAATCCTTCGTAACATGGGTCGGCTCGGCCTCCTGGCCAGGTACTCAGAGGCCATCACCCAAAGTGTGTTGAGGGAGCTGCGAGCCAGGAGAGCAGGCCCACCCACATCACTACCCAAGACCCTACCACAGCTGAAGGCCCTGCAGGAACTGCACCCATACATGGAAGGTGCCCAGCTCCGAGAGGTCACCCTGGCCTTGCTGGACCTACCTGAGGCCCACCTGCTGGCCCAGCGACCCACGAAGTCCCCTGGGAAGGAGAAACACCTGAGCGCTCTCGGAAAGACTTTGGTGCAGCTGTTGACTGGCAGCCCTCAGGACCAGCTACAGAGCCACAAGTTCCTCTGGTCTTCTGAGTATGTGAGAGGCCTGGGGCCTCTGCTCCCAACCCTAGCTGTGGATGAACTGGACTCCGTGTTCCTGCACACTCTACAGAGAGACCCTGTGCTGGCCTCCGTGGTGGCAACCGACCTGCTTGACTATTGCCTGGTCCGGCGGACACAGGCGGCCCTTGGCATCGCTGCCCTGCTCCTTCAGCAGAGCTGCACCCACCTGCTGAGGTTTGAGCTGTGGTGTGGGCAGGCTAGTGTGGGGTTCCACCTGCAGGAGGATCTGGACAGCTTCCTTCCCCTCATCCATCTGTACCTTCAGTGCAGGACTCAGGGCCTCTTCGTGCGTCCAGCGAGAGGTATGGAGAAGGCTGGCTTTGGGCAACTGGAATGTTACAGGTCAGGGGCTTGAGGAGGAGAGGTACATGTTCCTTTTAAAATCCCTCAGCATCCTGGTCTGAGTGCTTTAGTTCTCTTTGCTCTTCCAGCATCTGACCAGCTCTGAGGATTGAGGAAGGTTGAGAAATTCCCAACACCCTTCCACCTCTCCTAGCCTAGGGAATAAAGCATAGCCCTGGTGCCCCCTTGTTACCCTGTGTGAAGGGGCAGGGTTGGGCAGTAGTTGGGGTCTGGGGCTGTGTCTTGCCAAATTGAGGACTCATTCAGGACTAGGCCGTGCCTTGTCTATTGCACTGTCCCCACCTCCAGGGGAGATGGTGAGTTAGTGTCATGTGGGACAGTGTGGTTCCGGCTTTCTTTTTTTCTTTACCCCGCTTGGTTTCAGTTCTGATGTACTTTCTGATTACCTCGAATTCAGTTAATTTTTTTTCTGTTAAATGCTCAAATGCCTTTTCCCTTGCTGCTTTGCCTGTTTTGTATAACTTTGTATTGAATGTGAAGATGCTTTAGAAACCAAGACAGACCCTCAGGCAGGAGCCTTCCTCCAGGAGTTCTTGATGTACCTTTCCTTGGGCACCCTCCCTGCTCCCACATCTTGGAAAACGAGTCCCGTACTAGTTCAGAACTTCAGTACTCATGGTCTTATGAACTTAGATCTGGGGCATACGTGGCACACTGGGCTCTAGCATTTGTCAAGAATGTTGACTGATGAGATGGAAACGTTTAACAGCTGGCCCCGGGTGGAGGCAGATGTATAGCATTTGCTGATTTCCTTGATGCCAGTACTATTGCTATGGCCTGTTTCAGGCTACCAGAGTGACATCACAGGATACCTAACAGCAGCTGGCTGCTGTCCAGGCTGGCTCAATTGAGCATTGTGTGATGACCTCTGCATGGTGTCTTTGTCCTAGTGTCCTCTGCTGTCATTTCTGTCTTGAGGAAGACCCTGTGGAAACAGCTGCTGGACAGGTTTCTCAGCACTAATGGGCCCCCAGAGTCTGGGCTGCTTCAGGAAACTCTGGCCCAGCTGGTCCCATTTGCAAGAGCCAAAAGTCTCCGAATGCTCATGGGCCATTTGCCCAGCTTGCTTCAGACTCCAAACAGTCACAAGAGGTAGGAGGGCATGGGTCGTTAGATGGCTGGTCTCCTCTCAGCTTCACTTTTCTCTTTAGTATTTATGAAGTAAGTTAGTGAAAAACAGCTGCTGTCCTGTTGTGCTGGTTGGTGAGGAGCTGTTCTGACAAGAACTCTCCTTCTGACTGCCCATGCTGGAGCAGGCACATCTCCGGGAGCTTCTGAACTGGTGGTGATTTCCCACCATGGGTTGGTTGGCAATGTCTGACTTTGTTTATTGTCACAGCTGGGGTGAGGGGTGTGGTATCCAGAGGGCAGAGGGGGCTGGGATACTGCTAAATATGTTGTAATGCACAGGATAGCCCTCTACAAGAAGGAATTATCCGGCCTTAAATGTCTCAGTGCCTACTTGGAGGGACTCTGATCTAGATAAAGTCTAGACATAAACATATCCTTTTCTCTGCTGATACTGTTGGTTGTGAACATTATGGTGCATCTTTGATGTTTAAGAGTTGTGGGGAGCCTGTGGTTCCTAGGATGGGGAACAGGATTCAGGGCATTGTTCCCTTGTAGGTTTTTTCAAGGTTGGATTAAATCCTCTAACTCTGCAACTCTGGTCTCCTGCTACAGTTGGCTCATGGCAGACGCGGTCTCCACAGCCCTGGAGGGGTCCTCAGGAGAGCTGAGTGCCTGGAGGAAGACCCTGCTAGAGTCCTGCATGCAGTGGCTGCTCGCGTCCTTCAGTGGTAGCCAACTAGGTGATGCCAGTACCCAGGAGCAAGAGAGGCAGATGCTGCTCAGATTAACCGAGTTGTTGGTAGGTGTCATTTTTTACAATCCTGATGACACCTTTAAGGGACAGTAAGCTAGATAAACCAAGCTTTGCAGATACATTTCCAGCCAAGTAGTATGGTAGGACATAAGAGGGGCCATGTCCAGGTAGAGTGGCAGATGGGCAGCCCTGGAACTGATGAACTGTCTTACATCAGGAGCAACTGCTGTATGTTGTCAAGTGCTTTTTTGTATCTACTGAGATTTTTGGTAAGTTCTTTGTTTTAGTTTTTCTGTTAATAAGGTAAATTATATTAATTGTGTATCGAATGTTTAACCAACCTGGCATTCCTGAGATGAACATACTTGATCATGATGCATTATCTTTTTTATATACATGTGATTTGATTTTAATGTTTTATATATTCCATAAAGTATTTTTGCTTCTGAGAACATGAGGGATATTAGTTTGTAATTTTATTTTTCATCCTGTTGTATCATTTTTCCTCTGGCTGATTCCCCACCCGCCCGGGTTGGGGGTTGAACTTAGGACCTCATGCATGCTAGTCAGGTGCTCTACCACAGAGCTACACTTGCAGCCCTCTAGGACTTTATTTTTATTTTTATTTTTATTGAAATGTGGTTTAAAGCAATTTTATTATGATGCATCTTAATGCAGTTTTCTTCAGGTTTCTTGTGCTTAGGGTTCAATGAACTGTTGAGTCTGTGGGTTGATAGTTTTCATTACAATAGGAAATATTTGGTCATTGTTCCCTTCTATCAAAGTGTCCTTTCTGAAAAATACTATATTTTGCAAAGAAATAATTAACATCCCAAAGTTTAGCATAAGTATATGAGTTGTTCTCGATGCTTGGTATCAAATTGCATTAATAGTCCTAGACTCATGATTAAACTCTGAATCTAAGACTTAAAGTAATTATAGGAAAAGCGGTAATAATGAACAAGTATGTGGTAAATATATTTTTAGGTCATAGATTAAGCTGTGTACTTATTTAGTTACTTTACGAAACTATGAATATTTATGCCACAGATTTGTGAATTTAAGGAACTCAAACATGGCAGAACTGAGAGGGGAGGATCATGCCTGAGACCAGGAGAGCTGAGCCGTGGAGGCAGGAAGTGCCTACTGGCCATGGAGCCAAGGGAGTGCTGCCCAACTTCATGGGCCTCCCCTCTGCCCAGCCATGGGACAGGCACTGGATTGGGCCTTCCTTCCCTCTTGTTTAGTTGAGATATTATTTATGTATCATGAAATACACAACTGTTGAGTATAGTTCATATTACCTGTGTACCCCACACTCCTGTCTAGGATTTTCATTTTGGGGATGATTCCTGAGCTTTTTCCCCAAACGTGCTTCCCTCTGAAGCCATCACTCTTTTTTTACCCCCAATACTGGGGTTGGAAACAGGGGCACTCTACCACTGAGATATATACCCCTAACCCTTTTTCTTTATTTATTTTTATTTTGAGACAGGATCTCACTTAGTTGCTCAGGATGGGCTTGAACTTGTGATCCTCTTGCCTTGTCCTCCTGAGTAGCTGGGATTAAGGCATGCATCTCCACATCTGGTGGAAACAACCACTCTTGATTTCTGTCAGCATTAGATTATTTTGCCTGTTTTAGATCGTCATAGACTTGAAATCATACAGCATAGTATGGACTCGTCTGTTGTAGGAATGAGTAGTCTGTTATGTTTTGTTGCTGAGTACTTCTCCATTGTATGATGCCTACTTCCCCTTCCCTAGTCACATGAAAATTTGGAATTACTGGTTTTGTGACTATAAAACTAAATTTAAAACACACTCATTATAAATATAAAGCATTGTGAAACACACAAAGAAGAAAATCAATAGTCTCCCATTACCTAGAGGCCATCCTACTATAGGTTAGGTGTACATCCTTCCAGAGATCTTGCTATATATATATATATATCAATGTGCGTGTATGTGCTCATGAGATAAAACTTAAGTGTAATTTTAGGTTTTCATAGAATCATATTGTGCATGCTGTATGTAGCCTGGTATTTTAGCTGTTGGTTTGGTCTGTTTTTTTTTTTTTTTAATATTTATTTTTTTAGTTGTAGTTGGACACAATATCTTTAATTTATTTATTTTTATGTGGTGCTGAGGATTGAACCCAGGGCCTCGCCTGTGCTAGGCAGCTCGTTCCCACAAAATCTACCGCTGAGCCACAACCCCAGCCCTTGGTCTGGTTTTTTAACATAATACCATATTTTGAAATTTCTTTCCCATGCCAGTGACTGAGCACTGCCTTGACCTTGGTCTTGGTACAGTGGTCATTCCCAGGTAGATGAACAGCAACATGTATTGCTGCACCTATGAGTGGCTTTCCAGTTGTTGCTGTTAGGAAGAGTACAGTGTATTATCATAAAGCATATGTGATGAATCTTGCTTGGTCTTTGCACATTTGATCGCTTTTGTCCAGTTGAATACCTGAAAGAGGAACTGCTGGAGCAGAGAGAACATATTTAGAATGGGATGAGTAGAGTAGCTTCTTTCAGTAAAATGATGCTTTCTGCTTTCTGGACTCATCCATTGTGGGAATGTGAAGTCTATTGTGTACTGAGTAGGAGTTGACCAAGGTGCCAGCTGCCCCTGGGATTCCTTCCATTGGTTCTGGCACTAAAGTCTCCACAGCATGGCCAGGTTGGTGGAGCGAGGCAGCAGCCTAAGCATGCACTGCTTTTAACTGGTCTCTCTGGTTCCAGCATCTATCCTTCAATTCCATGTCCCTCTTCCCTTTGTCCAGCATGTACCCAGTCTCACAAGTGGTTCTCCTTGGCTATTTAATTAAAGACTAACTGCAAATCCTTTAGTGCTGTTTGAAATGGTAGACTAAGATAAACTTAGCAGGATGCCTCAGGAATTTTTCTTTCCCCATTCAGTGAGGAGGAGCATGCTAATAAAATGTCAGAACTCCTAGCAGAAAATAACGAGTTGTTTTTGTTTTAAGTTAAAAAACATCACCAGAAGCCTGTGTGCTTTTGAGGTTATTTGGATAGCTGTTTCATATTGACTGGAAAGCCCTAACTTCAATCCATAGTCTACATTTTAGGTTCTCCTCTCTGCCCTCCCAAACTTAAACTATCTTGTGCTCATCAAGAGTGACCTTAAGGGACTAGAACAGGAGCCGCTGGGAAGGATCAAACACTTATAGCAGGGGAGGAGTCGGGGCTCCTCTTTTTCAACTCTTTGGTCAGATATTTTATAGAAGGGGAATCAGACTCAGAGAGGTAGCTGCCTTCCTAAAACTTGTACAGCTAGAACCTCTCTCAATATTTTTAAAACACGTTGATGTTTCATGATATTTCTTGCTTGCTTTATTCATAGCGTGCACTTAATGAAGTTGATCCTGGTACTTGGCAGAAATTTGTGAAAAAGGGACTCAAGTAAGTTGATTTTTTTTTTTTACTTGGTATCATTTATAAAGGTGTGAATGTCATTAATCATGAAAAAACTCTTATATAGCTTGTTATAATACAAGTGGAAGAGCAGGTGTTGCCTCATTTTTAGAGCTAAAAGATAAAGATGGTTGGAGAAATGAAATGATTTGCCTGTTGACACGCAGGGTGACTTTAATGATGAGGAAAGAAGCAACATTTTGAAAAATGAGATATTTTTAAAATACCAAAACGTGCAAAGAGTAATAGCATCCAGATTTGATCCATGATGACAGTTTTTTATGCCTATACTAAATTTGTCCTAATTCATTTTCTCTCCCTTCCCCCACTGTTCTCGGCTGTGCTTTGTCTTGTTCGTGTATATTTTGCATTTTCACATTCTACATGTCAGTGTATGTTTTATCAGTAATGTTTTATGTGTTTAGTATCTTACACAGATGTCTTTTTCCGTCTTTTCTTTCACCCAGTTGTTTTTGATTTATTGAACTTGATGCATGCAGATCCAAGTCATTCATTTTTATTGCTATGTAGTATACTGTCTTTAGATGCTGCACTAATGTAGCCCGTCCTCTACCAACGGACATTAGGCTGTTTCCCCAAGTCTCTCCCTTAGAATCCTGACTAGACTAGCACATGTATCTTATGTTGCTGTGGCTGGGAGGACACGCTGGCTGTTAGTGTAGGCACACCTGCAGAGTCCCTCGATGTGCATACTGCTTTCCACAGTTGAGTGAATTTGCTCTCTCTGCAGTGTGGGTGTAAATCCATTTTTCATGTCCTGTTGACACTTGACATGGTCAGACTCCTTAGTTTTTGGCAGTCACATAGTTGTGAAATGATGCTGTACCATACCTGTAATTTTCATTTTCCTGATCATTCATTAACTTTAGTCAGAGAAAACTCTCTCTCACAAGAGGAGAGAAAGAAGTGAAAGAGGGTCCAGGTTAATGACAACTATAGATGATCATTATGTTGTGATGGCTTTCTCTCCAACTTTGGTTAATTTGTGAGTATGGAGTGCCTACCTTAACTTAGTTGATTCTTTTTTTTTTTTTTTTTTTTCGTTTGGGGCAGGGGTTGGTACTAGAGATTAAACCCAGGGTACTTAACCACTGAGCCACATCCACGGTCCTATCTGTCTGTCTATCTATCTATCTATTTATTTTGAGGCAGAGTTCCTTAGGGCCTGGCTTACTTATTGCTGAGGCTGGCCTTGAACTTGTAATCTTCCTGCTTCAGCCTCCCAAGCTGCTGGGGTTACAGGCCTGCTATACCATGCCTGGCAATTAGTTGATTCTTAACATTATTCATTTAGAACTAAAAAAGCTTTTTTCTAGATTATGGATATTCTGTCTTTGTAGTGGTTTTGAAGGATTTAAGTCATAGTTTCCAGCCTGAGTAGCCAACAGGAAGGAAGCAAGCGAGAGGCCTGGCTGGCAGGGTGGGCTGGGCAGCACTCGGTTTCTCTCCTCAGGCCCAGCTCTTCCACTGCCTCCTGGTGTTTCAACTAAACAGGAAGTTTGTTTGGTGTTTATGTCATAAAGAAAATTGGGTCCTATGCCACATAAGACATTTTGGTCACTAATGGGCCTATATACGATGGCGTTCCATATGAGATTGTTTCTCCTAGTGATGTAGTAGCTGTCTGAGTAAGCACACTCGTGATGCTTGTGCAATGACAAAAACTGTCTAATAGTAACAGTTCTCAGAGCGTGTCCCTGTCATCAGTGGTGCAGGCTGTAAACGCACTGTGTCCCACCTTGTTTTCCGAAGCGTCTCTGTGTGGTGGTGGACAGTGAGAAACAAGGCTAGCAAGGATGATGCCGTGGTAGAGGTAGAACCCAGGTGATGGGTATGTGCACATCCACTGTGACATTCTCAACTTTGTGCTGTGTTTGAAAATCTTACTAGAATTTTGAGAAAAAAAAAAAAGTTTCCTGTAGAATACACTTCCCTAACTTGAAACTCTTTCCCTTTTACCCTGGCCTCCCAGGTTTCGCTATCAGGACCACACCTTCCTACAGACCCTCTGTGCTGCCACACAGCTCCTGTATGGCCCGGAGAGCACTGTGCACACCAAGCTCATCCAGCTCCCGGTGGTCCACATGATGCTCACCCAGCATTCTCTGTTTTTGCCAACACTGCTGACATCTGAGGAAGAAGGAAACCCAGACAGTCAAGTAAAAGGTGACTCTCACACAGCCTTCCCAGTTCAGTTGCAGCTTTTATTTCCTGTGTCATCAAAACTTCTCTCCCACTGGTTTTCAAAGCTAAACAAGTATTATGAAAATGGCAGTAGAATATCTTGTTTCTGTCAAATCCAGAGTAAAGAAATACTGCTGCCATAAGTTCAGACAACAGTGAGACCTGTTTTAAAGGCCTCATCAGGCTTAAGGGGTCGTGTACTGTATTATGCGCCAGTGTTAGTGTCTGGGAGTTAGGGAAGGTGAGGGGTGTGGGTCTCTAACCTGAGAGAAATTGATTAGTTGTGTGAATTTTCTTAATGGAAAGATTGAAACTTACCAAGGGAGAAGGGCTGAAACCTGCTCCTTGGCAGTTTACTGTTGTGCAGCTCTTCTAAAGCCAGGCTTTAGAAGCATTGACTAAGCAGCTACTTTATGCCCATGAGTCCCAAGTGTGGTTTTGGCTATGGAGGATGTCCAAAAAGATGTCTGACAGTCCCTGTCCCCTCAAAGCCACACTGAATATTTAGAGAAGCAAAATCAACACCTCAGATCATTGGAAATCTCCACAGGGGCAGTCAGTAATGAACTGCAGGGTAGAAGATAATTGTCACCCAAATGATAGGTAATAGATACATTAAAAAGGGTTGTGCCCTTTATTGAAGCAGGAATAGAAATAATATAGATTTTGGTGGCATAATTGTGTCATTTAGCCTTTCATCTCTGTGACAAAAATACCCAACAAGAACAACTTAGAGGAGGATAAGTTTATTTTGGCTCATGACATTGGAGATTGAGTCCATGCTGGTCTGACTCCATTGCTTTGAGCCCAAGTTGAGGCAGCATATCATGGAGGAAGGGTGTGGAAGTTGAAAGAGAAGGACCCACAGAAAAAAAAAAATCCACCTTTTCTGGGGCATACCCCCTGTGACCCACCTTCTCCACCTGCGTTACCACCCAGCCAGTTCATTCAAACTAGGATGGACTGATTTGGTCACAACTCTCATTATGTAATCAGGTTGCCCCTGAATATTCCAGCATTAACAGGAGCTCTTGGGAGACACATCATAGCCAAACCTTAACAAGAACCATAGGGGAAAATGCTTGGATTTAAAAATCTTGGGTGGCTTAAAATTGTGCAGAGGGCATGAACAGAGACTGGTCCTCAGCCTTGTCAAAGATCTAGGGATACAGCTACTATGAAGATATGTTTATTTTACAAAACAGGAAAGGGACTGGACAGTGGTCCAAATCCCAGAATCATTCGGGGGCTGTTTCAGGCATTTTGATGTTCCCTGGAATGTGCCCTCCCCTACTCCTGTGCTGAATGTATGTGTCTCTGCAGGGCTGAGCATTTTGGTGTTTCTCTTCCAGAAGCGCTGGTGGACCTGATGGCGACCGTGGTGAGGATGTGCCCCTCTGTCTGTGAGAGCAGCCACTTTGCCGTGCTTCTTGGGGCCTACAGGGCCACCCTCAGCATCTTGGGTAAGGGTTGAGAACTGGTGGGGTGTATCCCATGGTGTGTTTAAGGAGCTCAGCTTCCTAAAGGGAGCCTCATTGACTTCCAGATCAGAAGATTTTACTTCTCCTCCGGGCGTATGAACAGAACAAGCTCAGCCTCATTAGTTTCAGGTGAGTGACGGAGCCTGCGTGTGCTGGGACCAGCAGGCACTGAGGGCATTGGCCTTGATGGTGCAGCTGCCTCTCCACACAGCAAATCCCAGGCTTGAGAGTTTTCTTATTGGTTTTCAGTTCTCAGTTCAGGGTGACGGAGACAGATCCTCTAGCTCATGTACAACTCCAGCACGAGCTACTCAGGCAAGGCTTGGCCTTGCCTTGGGTCTGCTGGTGGGCCTCCCCCGCTGACCGATGGTGCCTGTTAGTGGAGGACCCGCCCCTAGACACACTCCTGACTAAGAGGTCTCATGTGATTAATTTTTATGGAAATCTTTCTCTTCATGCTTCTCTTTAAGTAGAGTGACATATGATGGGGTTTGGGGAGAAGAGTGAAGAGGGCTGCCTGAACATTAGGTCTGTTCTGTTTGCCCATTCCTGCAAGTGTCTCTCTGTACCCTCCGCCCCATCTGTCACTCTTCCTCTGTCTGTATATCCTGGGCTCCCAGGAGCTGCTTCACTTTGCTTAAAGTTGAAAGCTGTATTAGCTCAGAAGCTGCCACCATCCCAAAGAAAGAGAGACATTCTGTCAAGAATACCCAGGTCTTATGTAGAGACCCATTCTTCCCCTTGTGCACTGGCCCCTTCCCTTCTCACCTTGGGGTTGGTACTCTGTCATTTGTACCTCTCCTGGAACGGAACAGTCCCTGTGTACCTGAGTGAGAGAGGAGGGCAAATCAGACATAAATCTCATTACCATGAAGAAAGAACCCTTCTAACTGTCCGTGTTGTCTCAGATCACCCTTAAACTCAGAGAGCCAAGAAGGGCAGGTGAGGCTGTGCAGCAGTGACAGCTAGCTTAGGTTATGAGAGCCTCCCTTCAGCTCTCAGGAGAGTGTGAAGGAAGGAAGTGAGCTCATGGGGCTCCATGGAGCTGAGGAACATAAAAGCACTTCTAGTTCCCCAAAGTACTGTCTCCATCCAGGAGATGGCAGAAAGCTGATTGACATTTCAGAGCAGGGAAGTGGCCCTCCTCAGAGCTGGCTTTAGGAGCATCCTGACAGTAGTAGGTCCATCCAGAAGGTAGATAGGGTAAGAAGGAAAATTGGGAGGTGGGGGTGAGGAGAGAGAGGCCTGTCATTTTCTTGGCAGAAGGCCTTGGGGGCCCTCTCTGGGCAGTTGCAGTGGGGGTTTGTGGCATGCATGGTGTGCATGACATACCTGTGATGGACACTCCAGGTGGGGCAGTCTAAAAGTCTTATGCAGGCAGACCTGTTCACTCGTGGCCTGTGGGCAGAAGGAGTTCAGGATTCTGCCTTTGGTGTAACTGGGGCTCTGCAGCCAGGCTCCCCAAGTTTGAATCCTGGCTCTGCCACTTGCCAGCTGGGAGGTAACCAACCAAGCATCTTTCCTAATATTCTGCCTCTTTTTCCTGTTTTCACAAGGGGGTGATAGCACTGCCTTCCATGGGGGCATCGTGCAGATTGTGTGAATTAATGTACATGAAGTGCTTAGGATGGTGTCATGAAGTGCTGTTTCTACTGAGTCCCTGTGACCAGTCTGCACTCCCCTTTCTGGCTCTAGGGTGCTGCTGTGGGGCCCAGCAGCCGTGGAACATCACAAGACATGCCGGAGCCTGGGAAAGTCGCTGTGGCAGCAACCCAGCGTTGGGGATATTCTTCGCCTGCTGGATCGGGACCGGATGATGCAGACCATCCTGCACTTCCCCTTGAACCGAAGGCTGCTGCCTCCTGAGGTTCGGCTTTTGCCTTCTGCCCCTTCCTCTCCCAGGGCTCCCTCTACACCCTCAGCTTTGTCTTTCTTATTAACTTTTTATTAAGTAAAAGCCCAACTGTGTACAGAACGGACTGGGCCCCAGGTACGCCTCACCCAGACTGGCTACCTTGTATCATTTATTCCCCTCCCCCACAAACTTATTTGAAGCAAATTCTAAAGATCATAATATGTTTCATATGTAAGCATTGCTTTTTATAGAATCTCTTATGCTTTAAGCTCTTAAATATTCAAAATAATTTGAGCTTTGATAACAGTGGGTTAACATTGACATGCTGATACATTTATGAGGTTGAGTCATGCATTTTTATTGGTTTTGGCTATTTCAGGACTCACAGGAATCAGTGTTTAAAGACAAGAGTGTGAAGGTGGATCTCAATGGCCTTTATGACCCCTGCTTTCTCCTTCATCTCTTCAGTGAACTGACCAGGCCAGGTAAATGCAGCCTCCCTCATGGATGCCTGGCTGCTGTGTGGGCTCCTGGGGTCAAATGACAATGTCAGTCGTTGCCATAATTCCAGGTTTAAGGTCTGAATCTTGAGATCTTGACTGTTCTTTCATGGTCTTCCGTTGTCTTCTCACCTTTTCATTCCAGTGATTTTCAGCAAAGTCACTGTTATAGTCATCTTTTCATTGCTGTGACCAAAAGACCTGACAATAATAACTAAAAAGAGGAATATCCTTTTGGCTCACAATTTCAGAGGTCCATGGTTAGCCAACTCCATAGTTCTGGAGAAGAGCATCATGTTGGGACGGCATGGTGGAGGAAATCAGCTCAGGACATGGAAACCAGGAAGCGGAGAGAGAGCTCTGCTCATCAGGAGCAAAATATAAACCCAAAGGCACACCCGCCAGTGACCTGCTTCCTCTAGCCATACTCTACCTGCCTACAGTTACCCAGTTACTGCCTAGTTCATGTATATTGGTGGATCGGTCCACTGATTACTTTATAAGTTTCATAATCTAATCATTTCACCTGAAAATGATGCTCTTACACATTCATTTTAGGGGGGACACTTCATGTTTAAACCATAACAGTCACAATTCTCACGTTTTGAATATAGAGTGGTTTTTAGAAAAATATATATTTATCTTTAAAACCAAGGGTGTCCCTTCTTCCTTAATGTTTTCCTAATTCCTAATGATGAGCATTTTCTGAACTTTTACTAGATAGTGGTCAAATGCCAACAGAAACTAGAGTTTTTATGCTTGAGTTAGAGTCTGCTGAGGTTGACTTGGTTTTGGCTTAAGTGTATTTTGAGAGTTGCATTTTATGCCCAGAAGCCTGAGGCGGGCAGTCTTTATGGATAAATGGGTGATGGGGAGTGAAAATATGTATGTATATTAATAGTCCCCCTTACTGGGGAGATATCTTCCAAGACCCCCAGTGAATGCCTGAAACCACAGATAGTTGCAAACCCTATATGTTCTGTTATTTCCAATGCACACAGAAAGTTTGTGATAAATCACTTGCAGTAAGCAGTCCACAATAGCTTACCATAGATTTTAGCAACCTCAGCATAGAATTTATTTTCTTGCCTTAAGTTAAAAACTGCCACTTTGTGGCCTCTGACATGTCTGAATTGCCAACATCACTTCTCTTGCTCTTTGGGATCATTATTAAGTAAAATAAAGGTTACTTGAACGCAAGCACTATGACACAATGACAGTCTTGATAATAGAAATGATTACTAAGTGACCTGCAGGAGGCAGGGATGATTCACATTCTGGGCCTGACATGCGTATAATTTTATCATGCTGCTGATAGCAGCCTGCAGTTTAAGACTTGTGAATTGCTTATTTCTGGAACTTTCCATTTAGTACTTATAGACAGTGGTTGACCACAGATAACTGAAAAACTGTGAACACCTTGAGAATGCTGAACACCTATTAGCAAAGATGAGTTGAACTTCCCAAGTTAAAAAACACCAAGAGTTTCTCTTTGAAATGTGCACCCATTTCTTTTGTCCATTTTGTAATGAGATTGTGTGTTGGTTGAGTTTTGAGGTTTCTTTATGTATTTTTGATGTAGTGTTAGTCCACAGAAGGATATGTGTCAGCTTATCTCTTCATCCTCGAAACAAGGTCTTTGATAGAGCAGAAGTTTTCTCTAAATTAGATAGATTTATTCTTTTTAATTCCAGGGTCTATTTGAAGCATGAAGTTCAGGTCCAGGTTGGTTCGTTTGTCGCTGATGTCCAGTTGTTCAGCCCCCATTTGTTGAAAATGTCTCCTTTCCCTAGGCTGCAGTAGGAGCCCCTCTGCCCACGAGGCCTCCTGGGAACTGTCCTGAGAGGCCGGGGAGAGGTGGCTATTACTAACACCAGGTAAGGGCCTTGTCAAAGCTGGCAGTGGGGGCGGGGGTTCCTTGCTCTCCACTGGGCTTCCTGTGACACCCCAGTAGGGATGCGAGGGCTTCTTGGATGCTGTCTCAGGAGGGAAATTGGGGCCTCTCCTCATAGCCTAACAGGGCTGAAGTCCAGGCACCCCACTCTGAGTTTGCTCGTGTGGTTCAGAACACAGTGAGGTGTCTGACTGCAAGTCAGGTCCTGTGTTGTCTGCCCCTTTCTAGTCTTGGCTCCAGAGAGGAGGCTTTTGTGGTCAGTGCCTGTTGGCACTTCTGGTTGCTGCTTTTTCAGTTCATCCCTCGGATGTAGGAGGCGGAACAACATTCCAGGGACCCTCAGCACCTGGGAGGTATGGGGGTGCCTTGGAGGCCTGCTGGTGTGTGGAGGGGTTCCTTGAAGGGGGCGGGGGCCTCATAGCTGTATACATTGGGTGGACTAGGGAGACCACGCCCCCACTGTCTGTCATACTTTCCCCTTTTTTAAACTTGAAAGTTTTCTTTTTATACACAAAAGCTCCTACCTGTGGACAGTTGTGCTAAACCTCTACCATTGCCCTTTGTAACCCTTTTAAAGGGATCAAAGGAGGCTGGCTTTTCATTGAGATTCCCCATTAGTGGCTCTTTGTGGCTGGCACTAGCTCCCCTTGAAGAGCACAGTCCTGTTCCTGAAGCTGGATTTTATTTGCAAGCGAACGGGGTATTTTGTACAAATGTCAGAAAGGGTGATAGCAGATGGGTGTCCTCATCGCCCAGGTAGGCACGGGCAGTAGGCTCACCGAGGCAGATCCGCTGTCTCTCTGTGCCTTGATGGTGCCATCCAGGTCTGTTCTTCATCACACATGGAAGTAAATTTTCCACAGTGTAAAAATATGAGTTTGTTGGCCATTGTAACTGGAGAAAATTAGAACAAATCATTTGGTCTCTTCCCCTGCTTCACAATAGAACTCTTAGAATATTTAATTCTTAGGAAAATATTTAACAGTAAAATCAGTTGGGTATTTTTCCCTAAGTCTTGAATACTTACTTCCTTTTTATGTGGTAAGGGGCAGATCCTGGGAGCCTGGGAGCCTTTTTTGAGGGGAGATGTACCAGTCACCCATCTCCTTACCTTTATGTCTCCCGATACAGACTATTTTAAATCTTACTGCTATAATATAGTTCTTAAAAAACTGCAAAGCACATTAGTCCTCATCCTGAAAAGTATTTTCAGTAACTCAAAATACTGGTGGTATTAAAATTCACCTTGAAGTAGAACATTTCAAAAAGCATAGAGGTGGAAAAGGAAATGTATACAACGAAAACCAAAATACCCTCCAAAGGTAGGTTTATGAGGTGTTGCGCTGGGCTTCATGTCCTCAGCAAAAAATGGATGCCTGGTGACTTAAACAGATTTCATTGGCTGCTAATAAAAGCAAACCACCCCAACAACAAGACAATTCATTGGGAGAGGAAAGTTCCAGCAATAAAATCAGTTAAGCTGTGATACACAGTTGTTTTGGTGAAGCCACCAGCCAAATCAAGAAATAAAGCCTAGGGCTGGGGTTGTGGCTCAGTGGTAGAGCGCTTATCTAGGCATTGGGTTTGATCTCAGTACCACATAAAAATAAATAAATAAAAGTACTATGTCCATTTACAACTAAAAAATTTTTTAAAAAGACATAAAGCATAGTGGGTAGCTCCTCAAGCCCCTTCTTGCCCATATTTGGACTTTACATAAATGGCATCATTCATGGTACATTCTCTGGTGCCAGGCTTCCTTTATCCCCCATCACATCCATGAGAATCACCAAGCTGTATGAAGAAGGCCCCCACAGTGTGTTTGTACTTCCCACCTGGCCCAGGGATTGCTGAGCTTCTTGTAGGCCCAACTTGGGTATATGGTGAGTCTTCACGTGTCCTGTCAGTCAGAGAGAAACCACAACTCACAGCTCCATTTTCAACCCTTTGCTGCAAATGGGAACCTATGTTCTTAACCTTAAGCCCTTGACCAAGAAATGGAGCCAATCAAGGCTGTTGGTAATGGCAGTGACAAACACTTTCTCCACGGCTAAGTCTGGTCCTCAACGGAAGAGATCTGAAATCTTTAGCTCATAGTTCACAAAGCAGCCAGCACAGGAAGGTCACTTGTTCTAAGCCTTGTCACCAGATGACCAATACGGAGTCCTACCCCACAGTGCACGTGGTGGGGAGTCCTGTAAGAAGAGGCTTGAGGGAGACTTCCGGATTTAATCCTGGATAATCATTCCAATTAAGCCATTCTCTGAAGGTCTGTTGGTCCGAAGGCCAAATTGCTATTCATGAAGTTCTTCAAACAGAGTGACATTTATAACTGTTTTTAAATAGCCTATTATATTTTCAGCATCCCAAGGGCAACCCTAAGTGTTACAAAGCCAAAGCTTCCATAAAGTAGCAGAGATGATTATGAAATATGAAATTGATTTTTCCTTATGAACATGTGGAAAATTCATTTGTCTCAGAATGTCAGCAATTACTAAAAATATCCCAGCCAGCTGAGTACCAGCTCATTTTAGTGAATGTAACATTAAATGTTTAGACTTCTTTTCCAAATATATTCTGTGTATAGTATTTGTTATGTAGGTATGTAGGTATCTCTCAAACACAACTCTTCTTTTCCAAAACAATTTAAATCTAATTTGGTGTTTTTAAAGCTTTTGGGCTTTCCTTCCCCATCAAAAGTAATCAGTTGTGAGAAATTAAGAAATTGAATCCATCAGCCATTGGAACCCACAAGTCCTTTTCCATTCTTTCAGTTTTTATCTGTGTCTTGATGTTAAAAGTGGGCTTTGGTAGGCAATCTGCACTGGAATTCTGCTTCTTTCCTGATCTGTCCATCTCTGCCTTTTAATTGGAATATATTCACCAGTTATATTTAATGAGATTATGATCTGACTCTGTTTTACCTTCTTTGTTGATTTTTAGCGTGTGTGTGTGTGTGTGTGTAGTGGTTGCTTTAGGATTCGTATTACACGTCTTTAATTTATTGCCATTTACCTGCTGTGGAGATGATTCCGCTTTGGACATGGTGTGAGATCCTTATAATGGTATGAACCCATTATTCCCTTTTGGCTTTTGTGCTATTCTTACCACACACTGTATTTCAATATCTATAAACCTCACAATAGATTACTATTTTTGCCTCATTATTTTTTGAAGAGATTTACTTGTTTGTATTCACCACATGGCTGGCAGTTCTTTTATTAGTGCATATTAATTATACAGAATAATGGGTTTCATTGTGGCATATTCATACATGCGTAGACATACTTCAGTCACTTTCCTGCCCTCCCTCCTCCCCCTGCTCCTTCCTCTTCTCTAATAGTCTCCCTTCCTGTAGGTGCCATTTTTACCATTTTTTTTTTTTGTTCTCTGTAGTCCTTGATGTAGATCCACATTTCTATTTGATATAATTCTACTTCTGTCTGAAATACTTCAGTTAAGAATTCTTGTAGTTCAAGTCTGCTAGTGATCAAGTCTTTTAGCTTTTTTATATCTGAAAAAAAAAAACTTTTGAAAGATTTTCAAAGGGAATAGAATTCTAGTTTAATAGGCTTTTTTTGTGCAGTTCTTGAAAGATGTTGTTCCACTGATTTCTGGGTCACACAGTGTTGCTAACAATAATCATCTGCCATTTTTCTTCCCTTTTTTCTGTGTGTTGTGTATCTGCTTTTAAGATCTTTTTTCATCACTGGTCTCAAGCAATTTGATTAAGATATGCTTGGATAGGATTTTTTGTTTGTTTGTTTGTTTTCTTGTGCTTGGGGTTCCTTGAGCCTCTTGGCCCTATGTGGGTATAGGTCTTGTCAAATATGGAAGTTTGGGCTGCTTAGATTGCCCCACAGCTCAGGGATGTTCTCTTCATCATGGTTTTTAAAATGCTGTTCTGTCTGTGATTTAGTTTGGATAGTTCTATTATTACTGTCTTCTGAGTCACAAGCCTTTTTATTTTCCATAGTATCTAATTCAGTGGACCATTCAGTACATTTTCATCTCAAACATTATAGTTTACATCCCTAGAAACATGGTTTGTGTTTTTATATCCTATATTTAACGTGCTCCATCTGCCCTCTAATAGTCTCCCTGTTTTTTAAAAATGCTATTAATGGTGTATCTTCTACTGGTAGTATATTACAAGATTACCAGCTTAGAGCAGTCATTTCATTTGGCTTGCATTTATTTCCTAACTAGGTTACTGGTTACTCACTCTAAAGAACATCATAACATCTTTATGGATAATTATCATGGCTAGGTTAATTTTATGTATGTGTTTATGGCACTGGGGTTTGAACCCAGGGTCTCAAGTATGCTAGGCAAGTGCTATATCACTGAGCTACATCCCCAGACCTTTTATTTTATTTTATCTTATCTTATCTTGAGACAGGTTCTTGCTAAGTTGCTCAGGCTGGTCTGGAACTTGCAATTCTCCTGCCTTAGCCTCCCAAGTTGCTGGGATTGTAGGCATGCATCACTGCACCCAGCTCAGATAAATCATTTTTTAACAAAGTGACCTATCTCTATTCCAAGTCCTTCTTGACAGAATTTGTTTTGTAAAAAGGCCTGGGTTCTTATTAAAGTATTCTGAACATTGTGGTAAGGTCCTCTGCATATCTGATCCACTTTGAGTCTTGTCCTCGTCTAGAGCAGTAGGAGCATCTCCAGGCCTCACAGATACCAGCCAGAAGGCTCATCTGGCTATAGCTGTTACTCAAGTATGGTGAACCAGTCTTCTGAGAGATTTTTTTTAGTTTGTTTGAAGAATGAATAAGGGTTGCAGAGTGAATCTAGCTTAATTAATCCTTTGGAAAATTGATGGGCCAGGTCCAACTGGCTTATACTGGCTACATTTCCCAGCTTCCCTTCCCTTCTGTATTTCCTAGGTGGTGCTTGCAGTTAGTAACACCATGGCTGTGGGCTGAACAGGCAGACATGGGGAGCTGGCTGCAGATCCCCAGTCAAGGCCCCGGCTCTTGGCTGAGCACTTAGCCCTGGGTCTCAGCATTCCTCTGTTCCTTTCCAGCTCATGGGATGTTCATGGGAGAAAGTGAAATAACCCCAGTGAGGATTTGCAGGCTCTTAGAAACTGAAGACATGGCAGTTATTGCCACAAAAAGGAAGATATTTTTTAATCCAACTCTGCAGCTGTTAGGGAGCCAGAGAAAGATTTTCTTGCTTACATTCAGCACATGTAGCTGAGATTGGTAAGATGCAGAAAAGAATAAGAATCATAAAATCCTGTTGTATGTTTAGTGTAGTATTTTGTTTTCCTGTAGAATTTGTGGTGGACTGTCGAAAATTTTTGGATTCAAATGCTCTGGGCCTAACTGTGGCAGCCCTCAGTAGCTATGACCCCCAGATGCGAGCTGCAGCTTATTCCGTCCTGGCGGCCTACTACTCACATCTGGAGGGTGCTCGGTTCAGGGAGCAGTCCCAGGTGAGTAGGAAATGGGGACAAGCCTATGGGAGGAGGATGGGCCTGGCAGATGTCAGAGAGCTAGCTGGCTGTCTGCTGGGTCTGGTAGGAATATTTACTGGAACAGGTATGTTGCTGGGAGATTTGCTGAGGAACTAGACTTTTGCCTCTAGGAGGTGATGCAGGAAGCTGCCTTTGAGCCTCATCTCCTGGGGAGTAAGAGCAAGGTTTCCCCCTTACAATGGCTCTTCCTGTAGGTAGACAGATGCTTGGTTTCTGTTGAGCATTTCTTTGGTCTAAACTCAGTGATGAAGATTTCTGACCCTCAAAAATCTGTGCCCTGTGCTAGGAGAGGACCAAGAGCAGATTGGCCTCTCGGGATACAGTGCCTGGCCTTATCTCTGCCATTGGGCATGGGCTTGCCTCCTGAAAGAAGGTGAAAAGCAAAACACGTCCCTAAAATGGTAGCAAGCTGGTGTCCTGTGCTGTGAACTGCATCCTTTGTGTCCCTGGGGTGGGAGGAGCAGGCACACCTGCACAGTGGTGGTTCAGCTACAGAGTCACAGTTCTGAAAGTGCTCCCCCCACCCCACCCCGCTCTACCCTATCTTTCAGCTGCTTTACCTGTTGGATGTGGTCCGGAATGGTATTCGAACCCCGAACATGAGACTCACTTTTACCTTGGCTCTCTTCATTGCCAAGGCAGCCCTGCAGATTTTGAAACCAGGTACTCCTGATATAATCTGGTTGGAGAGAAATTGAAAATTGGAGATTGAGCAAGTTTGCATCTGGGATTTATCCCACGGGTGTAATCAGTCACATATCTATGAGAAATGACATGTTCGAGGTCATTCAGAGCCCGTAATAGTGAAGAATTGTAATAGTGAAGAACTGGGAGCCATCGTAACACCCATCAGTAGTAGACAGAAAATAAGTGTTGAAACTCTGTAGGACTAGATCCAGAAAAAACTAAATGGAAAAAAAAAAAGATGCAGAACAGTGTGTATGATGGGGGCAAGGAGTATGGACTCACATTTGCATGTTATATAAAACTGGTAAAAGCAAATAAAACCCAGGAAATCACAGCATCCCTGAATGTGACCAAAATATTAGGGACTAAGCTGGGGGCTGAGAGCTTGGACTTGAGCTAGGATGCCTTGGGCCCCTTCCTGCCTCGGTGTCTTCACTCTGAAGCAGGGTGATAGTAGCACCACTGCTACACCTCTAGGATCACTGTGCAGGTGACACCCCAGAGCCTTCACAGGCTGCCTGGCACAGTGCCTCCCATCAGGTTGGCCGCTGCTCTTGGTCCTCACTGGTCCCTGCTTAGGAGAACGCAGAGTGGCTTAGGGATCCCTAGCTGGAAAGCATGGAGTCACTGTGCACGTGTCACTGGGTTATTAGAACACAGCTCCAGTGTTACCCACAGGGAAGCGGGGCTCCTCCACTGTGAGCAAGAAACCTTAATTCATCACATGTCTTTGTTTTGCCATTATTGAGAAAAAATGGTGGAATGCTGGTACGATTGAGGACTGCAGGGTTCTTTTAGCATAGATGGTTGTATCTCAGATGAGAAAACAGCCCCCCAGCTGATGCCACCACCCTCACACCAGCTGAGGCCCCCAAGGTTGAGTAGTGTGTCCAAGACCACAGTTAGCTTGTAGTCAGGCTGCTCTTAGAATTCAGATCTGATTTTCATTTCCTCCTAAGTAATTTTTTTAAATATTTTTTAGTTGCTGATGGACTTTTATTTTATTTGTATGTGGTACTGAGAATTGAACCCAGTACCTCACACAGGCTAGGCAAGCACTTTTCTACTGGGCTACGACCCCAGCCCTCAATCCTATGTAATTTTTATGACATGGTTTTTCCCTGCCTTACAAATTTGAGGAAGAAGAAATATAATTAAAAATAATTTGTAGATTTTAAAGGTCCTATTATGAGAAAATACAGCAGAGACCATGATGTTTGTAGTCCCCACCTCCCATCCAGTGTGTGGCACCCGGGTATAGCTGTCCCACTCAGCACTCAGGTTGAGGTGGGACCTGCAGGCAGCAGATGCTGAGCTGGCTCAGGCTGTAGCGGGAGGAGGGTCTCACCTCTGCCTGTGTTCTTGAACTGAGGCTCCCTTCCTGAGACAGGTCTTCTCTGTGGGAAGCAGAGGAGAGTGGGCTGATGGGTGTGATGTCAGTCCTGTGCTGCTGTCTGTGTGGCCAGGTCCAGCAATGGTTCTGAACCACAAGGGAAAGCCCATGCGTGGTTGCAACATCAGGTGCCAGCTGTATTCTAATTCTCAAGAACCAGTATTCTGGACAAGGGTAGAAAAGCTCCCTGGGGACAGGGCCTCATGGCTAATACCCAGAGCACCTGCCTCCCGTGCTCTGCCAGCTTCAAGGTGTCCTATTGACATCTGCAGTCAGTGACTATCTTGCCTATTCTCAGAGGAACACATGTACTGGAAGATCAGCAAGTTCCTGCTGTCACATGAGTACTTGAACATGGACAAAGTGCCGGGCTTCTACCAGTTCTTCTACAGCTCTGACTTTGAGGTAATGCTTTCAAAGCTCCCAGAGACTCCTGAACTGTATCACTCAGTCACTGTTATTTTTCTGGTGTTTTCCTCATTAATACCATTTCCCACACAGCTGAGATGATTGCACAAACAAGGTCACAAAAAGGAGCTGTTCACATGGGCTTCTGCGTAGATGGGGCTCCTGTCCCACGCACTGATCATGCTTCTTGAACCCTTAACACTCTCTGTCAGTCCTGACTCTTCCCACATTCTCCTGGGATTTCCTTGGTGAATGCCTGGGTTAAATAAAAGTATCTTTATGTGGAGCCCCCTGCCTGACCAAAGACAGCTTGGTGTTTGAACTGACCTGGTCCTTTATTCCTGACCTGAAGCAGTGGAATCAGGGACGAGACTAAGGGTTTTAATATATAATCAGAAACAGAGGCCAGGGCTTCTATGGCAGTCTTCGCCACCACTTGAAAACAGTGGTGTTTGAAGGGTTGTCAGATAAAGGGACTTTAATTTAGTTAATGATGCTTTCTCATTTGCCTGGGTTATAGCAAAAAACCGAACAGGAATGGGTGTTTGGGATTCTGCGGCAGGGGATTCGCGACAAAAACTGCTATGAGCTTTGTGCCCGGCGAGGGGTCTTCCACATTATCCTGACCTTCTTCAGCAGCCCGCTGTGTGACGAAGTGGCACAGGTGAGCTAATTCTGTATGATTATTTGAGACAGAAAGGTCTGCTCTGTTTTGTGGTTTTATTTGGAAGCCAAGTCCTTGTGAATTCTAACCCAAGTGTGGATGTGACTGCCCTGAGCCTGGCTTTGAAGTGAGGAAAATGAGGTTCCATTGACGGCCGTCCTGCTGCCTGCATGTAGTGTAGGCTAATTCACTCATGCGCAGGGTGGGATGCCCAGTATCATTTCTCCCCTGATGAAATGCTTTTCATTGCCTCCCTCTCGCTGTGCTCTTGACTGATAGGGATGCCTTTTATTTTGCTTTCATAAGAAAGGGACCAATCAGTAATCATGAGCCTGTGGAGCTGGCCAAGAGCTTAGGAACAAATTACCCCACATAAGTGACAGAGGTGCCCTCAAGCCACCAGGATTTCACTTAGTGCTCAGAAGCATCAAAACTTGTAAGGAAAGGAGAATTGGGAGTCTTAACTGCCTGCCTCCCTCCCCTAGCTAATTTGGAATCTGACCTTAGACTTCATTTCCTGGGACCAAGAGCTGACAAATGTGTTTTTTAGGAAATAGGTAGAAAAAGGCTTTGGCATTTCCATTAATTCCTAGCAAGTTGGCTTTTGTTTCTGGTATTTTGTGAAATGTAGCTGAATAGGAGTAAGTCAGGATTAAGAAACATGTTGGAATAAGCAGAATTTGAATACAGTGGCTTTTTACTTTGTTTTGGCATATGAGAATTCTGAGGCACTATTGAGTATTTCAGGGGCAGTCCCATCTTAATGGCCCCCTTTCCAGGTAATGAAACAGAAGGGCAGAGTAGGCTCCAGTGGCTCAGAGCTGGGCTAGAGATGGGCCCACATTCCTTCCCCCACTGGGCTGCTGCATATCTGGGCTGTGTGGTTTCTTGGCTCCATCTTTGCTTGTGGTTGGTTCCTTATGATGGGTTTGTTGAAGTGGGGCTCTTCCTAGCCTACCAGTTGCTGGAAGCCTTTCCTCTGGCTGTCAGTGGTGGGAAAGGATACTTTCCTTCACAGCCATACTATGACAGATTTAGCAAAGCAGCCTTCATTTGGAGCATGCCTTTGATAAGTAAGTTTGGTTCTCCCACTAAGGAGTATCATTTTGTTTTGGATTTTCAGAATTGGATCCTGGAAATTCTACAGAATGCTGCCCAAGTTGCCAGATCTGCCTATGAAATTATACGGGACTATAGCCTTTTAACGTGGATTTTACACATCCTTGAGAACAAGTAAGTGCTTTTTGCATGAGAGGTATATCAGGTTAGAGGAAGGTGGAATGGAGACATGATATCTACTACCAGTTGGAGTGTCTAGTAGACACCATGCTCTCTGAAACAGTGTCCTCTGATGCCCAGCGTGCCTGACAGTCCCCTGGTAATACCCAGGTGACTTTCCCTCCCCTTCCCTGAAGCTCTTCCTTTCGGGGTAGATTATTGGAAGTTGCTGGGTGACAGTGGCTCAGTTCAGTACTCCCATTGCCACTGCGGGTCCAGGGGGCTCAGTGATGAGCCTGCACTGCCGTGGTGCAGGGGGCTGGCGTTGGAGATTCACTGTGATACCTGACGACCTTCTGTCCCTGAGGCCATCGAGAGAGCCGAAGACTGTTACAGGGTGCTTGTGACTGGAAGACTTTGTCTCTCAAAGAACTAACCACTGTCAGAGAAGCCCAGAGGTCTCTAGGCTCTTCATGCATTTTTTTTTTTTAAGTATCTTCTAAAATTCCATAGAAGAAAACAATATTCTAAATATTATGTCTTTGAACATCGACTTTAATAAGATAGTTTCAGATTTATAAAAGGCATTATTAGCTGGACAGTGGCGCAGGCCTACAATTCCAGCTGCTTGGAAGGCCGAGGTTGGAGGATTGAGTTCAAAGCCAGCCTCAGCAATGGTGAGGCACTAAGCAACTCAGTTTGACCCTGTGTCTAAATAAAGTACAAAATTGGGCTGAGGATGTGGCTCAGTGGTCGAGCGCCCCGAGTTTAATCCCCCACCCCTCCCCCCAAAAAAACTACACAAATAATAAAAGGCTTAATTAGCCAATTATTCCTGGTTCCTGGCTACTACCTTGAAGTTTTAGAAGGTTGCTATCATAAATGGGACAGTGTAGTGCAGCTCTCCGGAACTTCTAGAGGGACTTAGGGCAGTCCTCTGGTTAGAAAGGAGTGTGGGGCCCTGGCTTGTGTTGGAGCTGAGTTGGCATCTGGGCCACCCTGTTTTTATTTAGAGGATGTGCTTTTTGAGAAGGTGAGCAGATAGGACCATATCCTGTTCTGCAATCCTGCCCTCCCACCTCCACAGACCGACAGGAGAGGATGTGGCAGGGCTGGACCACTGCTGTGTTTGTTTCAGATTTCTGGAGACTCAGCTGCTCTCTAATGTGATCTCCTTGCTGCATACACTGTGGGTGACCAACTTAGGAGACAAAAGAGTAGAGGGGAACAGCCAGCCACCCTGCCAGCCCGGCTCCCACGAGCCCCGCAAGCTGCTCGCCCTGCACCTGGTCAACGAGTTCCTTTATGTCCTTGTCGCACTTATGAAGCATCTGAGGTGAGCTGCCCCACCAGGTGACCCCTAACATGCCTATTTGAGGTTGCAGTGGCCAGTGCCACTTACTACTCTTTCCTGTTACTAAGGACACCAAGATGCCACAGGTGGGTTCTGGCTATGTCCTGGTTTGAATCAGGCCAGAATTCTGGTACCAAGTGTTGATGTTGTAAGGACATCTGTTGCAGCTCTTTTCTTCACTCTGCTAACAAACTAGAAGATGAGTAGCAAACAGATTATGCTCAGTATAAAGCATTGCTTGATAAGGAGCAGGACATTCTGTTTCATGTTCCAAATTCAGTGAAGTCTCTGGTAGACAGCTATGCTTCTCATTTTGGGATCATCAGGAGTTGTTGCTGAGGACAAATTGCTCTTTAAAATAATGGTTTTACTTTTAATGTTGTGTGGGATACATGTTACTTAGTTTTAAATTTCTTAGAGTTTAGAGAGATGTGTCTCCTCCCAGTGCCTATCAGTCAGGCATCAGCCATGGGAGTGATGCTGTCCTGGAGCCTTCCTGGGCCTTCTTCACTTGAGTCTGATAGTCCTGAGATGGAGAGGAATTGGCACAGCCCTGGTGTGGATTCGTGTACATCTCCTAGCCCCTGACTCCTCAGCTTTCTGCCAGCTACTCATTTAGCTAAGGTTTCCAAACAGACCTTTCTTCCTCTGGGGTAGGGGTTAGACTCTGGGTCTTCTTTTTCCCCTTCTCTGGAGCAGCTCACTTTTTCCTCTTCTGTGTACTGGGGGCTGTGCTAGGTATCTATTGTAAAGGGAAACCTGGTTCCTGAGTGAACCGACATTGAAGGCCACTCCAGCCCTGTGCTGTCCTTCCGGGAGAGGGAGGCAGCTTTTGCTCAGTCTATAATGTCGGCTCCCCAACAGGCCTACCTTGGCTTCCACCCAGCTCATCAGCTTCTTTAAGACACTCGACTCTGTGCTGAGATACCGGGCCACCGTTCTGCAGACCTTTAAGGACATGGGCCGATTCACTGTGAATGAGATGGTACTTTCCACCCAAGATGTCCTGATCCTCTTGCATAAGTGGAGCATCATCGAAAGAAACACTAAGCTGCAGGAAGACCTGAGAGCAGCTATTGAGAAGTGCCAACTCAGGGACCTAATGAGTAAGTGTCAGAACCCAAGACAGCTCTCAAGCTGCTTTGGGTCCACCCAGAGCAGCCAGAGTCCCTCCCTCTGTGAGCAGCATATCTAAAGCCTCAAGGCCTAGAGCGAGTGGGGAGACCTGGGTTTAAGTCCAGCCTTGCTGCTAAGTAGCTTTTGCCTTTGAGTAAGTCACTTAACCTCCCCAAGTATAAGGACGCTGACCTGTAGAGCAGGTAGGAGGCAGCTAAGAGCTACTTGCCCACCTTGCCCTGTGATGTGGGGTCAAGAGAACAAATTGGCCAGACCTCCTGGATCCACACTGTGACACTGCCATGTCCAGGTCTATGTTTCCTCCTGTGTATTTCTTTTTCTTTTTTGAGGTGAGGTCTCTCTGAGTTGCCCAGGCTGGCCTCAAACTCTAGTGTTCCTTTACCTTAGCCTTAGCCTCCAAGGAGCTAGGACTACAGGTGCACCACTGCACCTGGCTTTTCTCATCCACTAATGAAAATGTTGTCATTAACAGCAATGGCAGTGGATGTCATGTAGGAGAAGGCTTCTAGGAGCAGTGCCACGTGCCTGGGACCCTGAGCTGCCCCCTCCCTTCTCCTTAGAGGAGGATCTGTGTGGAGGGAGGTGCCCAGCCTCACTGCCGTTTTTCTCCTTGATTAATAGAAGTGCTCAAGGATAAGAACAGGCCCATGGTGCCAGCCCGAGCCAAAGGCCCGCGGAGCCGGAAAAGAAGGCCTGGAGAGGCAGAGGCTACGGTCAACCCTGAACTGACGGCATCTAGTCTGGAGACATGCAAGGGTCTCCTGCGGTCCATACTGACCTACTGGGGGCCTGTGGTCCCTGGATCTGAACCTGCTCAGGAGCCTGCAGACCAGACCACCCTGGAAAGTGAAGCACCAGGTCCTGGGTATGCCATTGCCTCCCTGGTGGTCAGCTGGGTGCTGCGGTCAGTAGGCGAGTGCCCGCTCAGCAGGGCAGAAGCTATGGGACTCCTTGGCTGGCTCAAGAACCACATTTTGCCACATGCAGAGGTGGTAGCTGACCTTCTTGGGGACAGTGCTGTGAGGAGCAGCATGTTTAAGCTCTACAGCCGCCTCTGCAGTGCTGAGGAGCTGGTGGGTCCTGCACAGGATGTGGCCTACCTATTCACCACGGTCATGCTACAGTTGGTGGCAGCTCAGGGCCAGGTACAGAGCCCCTTCCACCAAGCAGTGGAAGCTCTGTGGACATCTTCTCTGGATGAGAAAGACAAAGCCCCACAAGGTAATACTGGCTCTTTGGTTGGAAGCTAAAGGAATGTGTGAGTGGGCTGGGCAGAAGCTTATGTCCCTTAGAGTCAGTTAGGCCCTGCCAGAAACTTCCCAGTTTGGTGCTTTGACAAAGTATTTGAGTGGCCCCTCCCACAATTCTGGGGATTGCCAGTAGTTTGCCATTTGGCCCTAGTGTAAATGGAGAGGAAGCCTTTGCCTTGGCTCCCAGGTGAGACACCAGTGATAGGTTTGTGGTAGAGAAAGGAGCAACCTCAGACTCTTCCATGCTGCATAGCACAGCATGTGTGACCTCCACCCAAATGGAGGATTGCATTGCATGTCACAGCAAAGCTTGTACGTGTGCATGCACACAAGTGTGGACATCTGCAGAAGTGCACAAATGCATGCGCGTGGTTTGTGCTTGCACTTAGCAGATGCCCACAATTTGGGACACAGGAGTGAGTGAAGAAGGAATTTCCCAGCTTAATGGTTGTGAGAAGACTTGGGAGGCAGGTGTGGCCTCCTCCATCTGGGAGGGTGCTCCCTTTCACTGAGGGATGTAGAGGGGAGCTGGGAGGGGAAGAGCCAGCAGACCACGCAAGTGAATTGACCCAATAGTGTGATGACTCTCTTCCTCTCACCTGGCTGCAGCCAGAAAAGTAAGTCTTTCTGCCCATTAGACCATCTCTCCCCACTCAGGCGGTTGAGGATATGATGTTAGATGATTCTGGGGAGTGCTTCTCAGAATCCAATGCTGGCTCCAGGTGTGGGTGCTCAAAAGCAGAAGAAACCTATGTTGTAGTAACTTCTTTTTTATATTATTTATATTTATAAAATATTCTCATGGGCTGGGATTGTGGCTCAGAGGTAGAGCGCTTGCCTACCATGTGTGAAACACTGGTTTGATCCTCAGCACCACATAAAAATAAAGATATGTGTCCACTTATAACTGAAAATAAATATTTAAAAAAATTTCATATTCATCAGAAGGTTTAAAATAAAAATGATTAACACAGAAATTAAGCCATCACAAAAGCAATTTTTCGTATAGGTGCTCACCCGGTGTTGCTGCCCTGTGGCGGGTGGCTGGCTTTCCCTCCCAGTGGGCACGTGTCCTCACAGCCTTGTCTGACTCTTCTCTGCCTCCACAGCATTCCTCGTGTCCCTGTATGTTAAGGATGTCTGGCTGGGCACCCGGCAGCCAGCCAACCTTCTGGCCCATGTTCGAATGGTCTGTGATGCTGCAGAGGACACGGCAGGTGGTGAAGAGGAGGCCATCATTGTGCTCTGCAAGGACACTGCTGCCTCTGTCTTAGAGGCATGAACACCAGCTTCTGAAGTTTGGCTGAGTCAAGTTTCAGGAAAGACATGAACCAGCAGGTTCAATACATTAACTCGGTTTTCTGAAAAATGTTAGAAGGACTTCACTTAACTGACCAATAAATAATAAGCTCAAGGGACCATGTGTACCAAATGGGCAGAGCCATGTGACTCAGGTGCATTAGGGCCACCAGGCTCATCGGGGCCAGGTGGGCAGGTCTTTCCTCGTCTCTGGGAGTGCCTCGTGTTTTGCTGGAAACTGCTCAAGTCAAGGGTGCTTGTGAGTGCAGAACAGATTTGTGGATATTGAATCAGCTAAGATATTGAAAAGTCTGTCATTTTTTGATGACCATGAAAGTAGATATTTGAAGTTTCTGTCTGTAAGAAGTCATGACAAAATTTTGTATACTCTGCGTAAGTTCCAGCAGTGTTTTTGATTATTTTATTATTAAATCCTCAAGAATGACAGAAATGACAGCCTATGTTTCTAAAGTTATATTTCAAAGAGATTTTTGAGTGTTATAATTTCTTGATATTAAATGTCTATTTTTGTAATGTTTTTGTGTTTTGCTTTGATTTTGATGATTTTATTCCAGAGACCTGCATTTTGTAGGTCAGAATTTGACTTTGGAGGTTCACATGTTAGTGGGTGTTGGAGATAATAAGAGTCAATGTGAAATCTCATTGATTTCACAGCCAAAATACTAGTCTGGTCCTTTCAGACTCTTCCACACATGCTGGGCCCCTGGGGGGCTGTTATGTTACTTGGGAAGCAGTTACCTAATTTGTCCGGTATAATATACATAGCACTGAGAACGGCTTGGTTTTGCCTTAAACATTCACACTTACCGATATTCTTTTTAGAATGTTTTGTAAGTTTTAAATGACTTAAGGTTTTTAACTGAAGTAAGAATAATGCCTACTATGTTTAGTCCTTTTACCACAAATAGAGTTCGTTGTCTACAAAGCAAAGGCCATTTATCTCTCCTGTTCACTCCCCCATCAAAAGAGGCCACAGCAGGATTCTTGGAGACCATTCTGAGGTTGAAATTCCACATTTGGATTCAGGTTGGCCTCTGCAAGCACTGTTCCAGCTAAGGCCCCGTTTTCTGTGCCTTCTCTTCATGGTTCCCTCTGTACCTGTGTCTTACCCTTCTGTCACATGCTTACTGAGTTTTCTTCTGATTCATGAGGAGCAGGGTCTGGGGTATGTCCCTGCAGCCCAGGCATCTAGGGGAGGTGAGGAGGGGCCACTCACAGAGTGGACTTCCTTGGCCCCAGCACAGGCCTCGGGCTGTCAGCTATCTCCTACGTTCTTAAGTTCCAACCTGGGTGGGATTTGACTTCCCAGCTTTGCTGGGGCAGGCTCAGGCTCAGCTTACCTGGTGACCCCTGCCCACCTCTGACATGAGCCCTGGGAAGGTGGGGTTGCCGGGCAGCCCTGGGGCTACTGAGCACACCTGTGCTTTCCCAAACACCCTCTGCCAACTAGGGACGTGGCTCCTTTCCCTGCACTTTCTTTGAGGAGCTATCTCCCAGATCTTTCCTTCTGTGGCTAATTCGTGATAGAACAAGTGAAATAGATGTGTTAGGTGATGACAGGGACTTTAGTGCTGAGTTTCAGCTCAGTAAGTTGGGGACACATTTTTAGCAAGTGTCCCCCTTTTCCTCATCTCCACAACTCACCAGGCTATTCTTCCCTTTCTGGATATATTGCCCAAGTCTAGGAAGGCCATACCTGGCCCTCACCCTGTGGAACCAATTTCTCGTCACTAGGGTGGAGGAGAGTCTCACTTTGTAGAGAATAGATTGTACAAGGTCTTTACCAAGACCTATAACTCAAAACACTGAACCATAAGTACAGCCAGTTCTCTGGATCTGCAGGTTCCTGGACCACGAATTCAGCTAAGAATTGCATCTGTACTGATCATGTACAGACTTCCTGTCATTCTCTGAACAGCCCCGTGGAAAAGCTGTTTCCTAGCATTTGCACTGTTAGGTATCACAAGTATGGGAGGATATAAGTAAGTTATATGCAAATACATTTTACAGAAGCAACCTGAGCCTCTGTAGATTTTGGCCTCCTTGAGGGGTTCTAGAACCAACCCCCCAAGGATTTCAAAGGACAGCTGTATTTTAAATACTCCTGTGAAAGAAAAAATTATTTTAAAACTAAAACTCACCAACTCGTTACCTAAAAGTTCTGGGTGGCACAAGTGGGTTTTTAGGACCTTGTTGCATGATTCTGCCTCTTCTCCAGGCCAGTGATGCAGGGTACTAGAGGACTAGAAGCTCGGGGATCTCAGATCCATGGGCACAAGTGGCATCTGGAGTGGGACTCCACCTGCCAGCCTCAGCATGGCTGAGGCCCTCTGTGAACATGGAGTCTGCTTTGCTTCCCTTGGGCACAGGCACTGCCTCCCTGCAGGGGAGACCTCTTGGGCACTGTGTTGAAAAACTGAGGAGGAGAACATGACCTGGCCAGCTGGCTGGCAAAGGAGATGCCACCACATCTTAGTAGTGGAGGACACACGAGTACTGTGCAGGCCTCCCCAGTGTCCTAACAAAGGTGTAGATGGATCAAGTGCACGCAGGCAGTATTCACAGAGGGGCAGGCACAGTGGTAGGGGTCAGTAAGGACTTTTAATTCATGCATATTTTATTTTCCTACTCCTCTTAAAGCCAAAGTAAGAAGTGAGCAGATTAAGTATGGTAAATAAAATCAGCCATGTCTGTGATGACTTCTCTATGCCAGAGGAGCCATATGCAAGTCTTTGACAGATGCTCATGATGTGCCTCCTGATAGAGTCGTTGACCTGATCACTTTCTGCTACATGTAAACAAGCTTTGAAAAGGCAACATGTGTGTCCAGGTTGGTTCAGCATTACCAGTTCACTCAGCCATGATTGTGGTTAATTGAGAGGTTCTGTCTCCAGGCTCACTGTACTTGATCCTGATGTCAGGGGGACACCCATCCAGGTCCTGTTCCCAGAGGAGATCTGTGGGAACCACGGGGATGAGGCAGAGGGACTCTCGTGCTGTAGCCACTACTCAGCCCCAGCTCTGCTTCCTGGTGTCTCTACTGCCCCGTGGGAGGCCCTCCTAAGGCAGGAGGGGAGGTTGAGGCTGTGATTCCATGGGCACATTTGGTGATGCTGGGGGCCGGTCCTGTGGACAGAGCAAATGGGAGACATCAAAGGAGCTGGCCGAAAGCATTTCTCACCTGTGCTGCCTTCCTGTCACCCGTCATCGTGCCTGCCCAGGGCCATAGGGAAGGCCCATGGAGTAGGGGAGGGGTCACTGAATCCATTACAGATTTCTGAGAAGACAGGAAGTGCTTTGTCAGGAAGGAGGCCTCAGTCTCTCCCTCAAGGTTACTTCCTCTTGATCTCATTTCCAGGGGCCTAGAGCAGATTCACCTTCCATTCAGCCACTGGTATGAATAAGCTCTGCTTAGATCCATACCCAAGCCAACTTGTATCTGAGATAAGAAGTCCATCCTCCCTGTATTCTGCCCAGAGGTGTAGGGGCAGTGGACGCGCTGCCTGGCATGTGCCCCAGCCACCACTTCCCACCTGGCTTGGGTATCTTCCACAAAATAGGATAGTAGGTGCCCTACAGGTATCATCAGGGTGAAGTGAGGCATGTGGGGGCCGCTGCCTAAGCTAGAGGTCAAGTTTCAATGTGCTATTATGTTCACTTAGATGAAGAACACAGGACAGGAGCCCATGGAGGTAGAGGCCCCTCATTTCAGAAACCTCAGCATAAGACAGCCTTTCATTTCTTCCTCTCTTCCTTTATTCCTTTCTTCTACATGGAAAGAGTGACTCCTCGGGGAGTACCTCTCATTCCTAAATCTTACTAAGGATCGTCTTTGCTGCCCTGGGTATTCCGTGTCTGTTACATGGTGCCGTGAGGGCTAAACAACATGAATTCGCCCCTGTAAAACTGTAGCCCAAAGACTGTGCTGTCCACTGGCACTGGGCTCTGTAGAGGCCCCGGTGTGCCCCCCAGACCAGGGGACTTTCCACCAGGAGGATTACAGGCAATCCTTGCAAAGTTTCCTAGGCATAGGGAGGGCCTGCTGCAAGACACCTCAGAGGAGCAGAAAAGAAAAGTGATTTCCTTAGTTTATCCCCAAGTGTCTCAGGGTAAAATATGCTTAAATGTAATATGAGTTCTAAATTTTGAAAGAAAAGAAGGGATTTCTTCACTGCTCAAAAGCTGGACCCTTGGCTGGTGATGTAGTTCAATTGGTAGAGTGCTTGCTCCACATGCACAAGGTCTTGGGTTCAACCCCCAGCACCACACACACACACACACACACACACACACACACACACACACACAAAACTAGTCCCTGCCTCCCAGCCAGAAATGACCTGGTGAGTGTAGACAGGGGGAATTAGCATCTGAGGGCAGGGTGGGAGGTAAAATGGGGGGCGGGAGAGAAACAGAGGCCCTTTTACAATGCATCAGTCCACAGGTTCCTCACAGGAGCTGACCAGGGACCCCATCAGGTGTAGGGGTTGGTTCTTTTAGGGGCACCAAGACCCCTCCTCTCTTCCTATCTCAGCAGCAGCTCTGCCCGTCTCTGCTGGCTAGCTCCTGGAGTTTTGAGTGGTCTTGCTCCTCAAGGACTACCCATATGGCTGTCATGGTCCACAGAGGTGCACAGCCCAGTCGTCCAACTGGACCACTCAGTGCCACAGCCATCGTACCTAGTCCATCTCTTGGGTTCCTGATTCCAAATTTGAAACTGGGCATCAGACAGGCCACACAGCCACCGGCCAGCTTCTAGATGGGCTTTCACTGGGTCCATTGCCCACCCTGATCCCATCAGCCTGCAGGCCAGTTGACTAGCATGAGGCAAGATTCAGATGAGCTGGGTTCTAATTACTGCTTGAAGCTCCTAGATTTTGTCTCCAATGCAACCAACACTGAGGCACACATACGGGATTCAATAGGAGATAGTACTCACAGTGCCTCATCTAAGGTTGCATTTTCCTGTTAATCTGGTTGGCAACACTTAAGGGGCACATGGTATCATTTTGTTACCTTTTTAAACTGAATTGAGATATATTTTACATGTGGTAAAGTTCACCCACTTAAATGTATAATTCACGGTTGTGCATCTGTGGCCATAATCTAATTTTAGAACAGTTTTATCATCCCCCACAAAGGAACCCATAAGCAATCCCTCACTTCCCCTGCCTTCTCCAGCCCTAGACAACCACCAGTTTGCTTTCTATCTCTATGGATTTTGCCTATTCTGGACATTTCACATAAATGGAGTCACACAATACGTCATCTTTTGTGTCTGCCTTCTTTTACTTAGATGTCTTTAAGGCATAGTCAAGTTGCTTAACCATGGGGACACATTTGGAGAAGTGGGTCATTAGGCAGTTTTATTGTCATGCAATCCTCAGAGAGTACTCAACACACACTAGACTGTCTACCAGATAACCAGGAGACATACTCTCATGGATCCACCACCTTTCTTTGTTGAAGAACACCTTGTTATGTGGTGCACAACTGTCCGTCATGTTGTGGTTGGACTCGGCCCTCTGTTCCTGTTCTGCTGCATCAATATTCTATGCCACTGCTCTTTAGCGTCTGAGTTCCCAGAATGCCCTCCCCCTCCCACTTACCTCATCTGTGAGGACCCCGACCAGGACATGTAGAGCAGAATGAGGAAGAGGAGCACCACAAAAGCAGCCAGGCTCACCCAAAAGGCGATGACAATAGCATCTGCAAGAGGAACAGGATGTTCTTGAGGTCAGTTTGCCATCAACCATAACCAACAGTGAGGGGAAACAGGGAGTCCAGGTACCGCACTATGGCCCTGAGTGGAACTGTTCTCTAGTCTCACCTCTCAGCCACTGGCCTATGGAAGGTTTTCCAGGAAAGACCTTGGGAAAGAACAGTAAAGTAGGGAAGTAGGCATTTTTTTTTTCCAGGGCAACTAGCCACTGGGTAATTAGCTGATTGTTGAAGGAAAGTAGTTAATACAATCCTGCGACACCCTGTAGATCTGCTTCTTAGATATTGCTACTCAGAGGAGCGGTCCTCAAGGATTGGTTTTTCTTCCTTCTCTCCCTGGGAAGGGAGAAGAAAGGGCTGTGGGCAGCTCCATGGCCTTGGTGACCAGCCTCATGGGGAGTGGTGTCAGAGGCCCCATGAGGCAGAGACCTAGAGGATGATGTGCCCTGGGCTGTGGTGTCCATGGAGGGCCAAGGCCTCGGTGCTCTGAGGTGGTCAGCTGAGGCCTTCCCTGGGCAACCTGCCCAGGTCAGGGACTAGGGAAGTAGTCTCCTTTTTCAGGTGGAAAAGCTCACCTCTGGGCAGTGTAGGGAGAAGAAACCCTTTTGCAGCCACTATGCTCCAGCAAAGGGAAACCCAGAAACAGGCCTAGCTCTTCTAGACCCGGCAGGACCAGCTCTTCTAGACCCGGCAGGACCAGCTCTTCTAGACCCGGCAGGACCTGGCGGGGCAAGTGGTGCCTTTCTCTGGAGCTCCAGGTCAAGAAGATGGTGTAAGTTGCTGGGGAACCGTTTGCTACCAGTAGGGTGGGTTTTTTCTTTTTTCCTGGATGATTATTTAATGGGTGAACAAATGAATGGGAGAAAGAACAAGCAACCGAAGGAATGAATGGAGTGTTAGAGATTTGTGAGCCAAACAGACATGGAGGTGGAGCTCTAGGTGTGACTGATGGAATCACCATTCCTTGAAATGCATGGAGGACTGGTTTCAGACCCCCTATAGATACTGAAATCCTTGGATGCCCAAGTCCTTTATCTGAAGTAGCACAGTATTTGTATATCATCAACCCACGTCATGCTATCTATCCACTTAGAATCATCTCCAGATTACTTACAATACCCAGTACAATTTTAATCCTATAATAGCATTTAGTAATTATATAATAAATATATATTACCATATAATAAATTTATATCAAATTATATAGTAAATAATTATATTGTTCAGGTAATAAGCACAAGAGGAAAGTCTGCACATTTTTAATAGAGATGGGATTTTTTTCAAGCATTTTCAGTCTTGATTGGTTGAATCTATGCATGTAGGGGGGTGGTACCTGAGTACAGGGGGTCATCTCTGCCCTCCACAACTCAGAAGGTAGAGGGAGAAACGGAGGACTTGTAATTATGAGTGATCCTGGACCCTAACCATTAACGTTGAAAATGGTCTAATGGGTGCGTACCTGTAATTCCAGCAGCTCAGGAGGCTGAGACAGGAGAATCGCGAGTTCAAAGCCAGCCGCAGCAACTCTGCAAGGCCCCAAGAAACTCAGCGAGACTCTGTCTCTAAATAAAATACAAAACAGGGCTGGCTCCGTGGTTGAGCGCCCCTGGGTTCAATCCCTGTTACCAAAAGAACAACAACAACAAAAAAAGGTCTCATGAAAAGCTGCCGCACTTACAATAGGAATCAGGAGCCTACTGGCTGGTGACACATCAGCCACTCGGGGTCTACACTCCAGGAAAGGACGGATGCCAAACACCAGGCTGGCTCTCACGTCTTTTCTATCTCTCCTTGAGCTGAGAAGCCCATGGTGGCACCCAAGAACATTAAGCTGCTTGGGGGACCCCTGGACTCCTAGAAAGTAGAAATGACACCACGTGTCCAGAGCTCGAGGACTTGCCAGCTCACTGTGCATTAATTCTCCATTCCCAGAGAGCTGCCATTTACTTCATAGCTTTCCAAGTACAAAAGTGCATGTTTTTTTTCTGAAAATTTGGCTTGAGATTGTATTCAGTAAGGATATTTTAGATTTCTGCGGACACTAATGCTTTTTTCTCCTCCATCAAAACAGTGCAGGATTGGAGGTCGTTCACCCCCAGGTGAGTTCTGCCAGGACTCTTAGGAAACAGATTTCAACAGCCGAGCGCTCCCTTCTCTCAGGCTCACCCTCATCTGCCTCAGTTCTTGTCACTATCCCCAGATACTGAGGGGAAATGAGGCTCCACCTTTCAAAGCACAGTGTGTTCAGATGAGTGAGATTTAAATTTTTGCCACACCGAAAGATGATCAGTAGCCACTCCTTATTTTCTGTACTAAATTTGTTTTCATCGTGTTCTTTTGAAAAAAGGCAACCAAAAAAATGCAAGCCCTTTTCTCCAAGTGCTGGGAGAGAACATTTTGTTCCAAGAGCAAAAACTGTCATTTCCCAGTTTGGGGAGGTTCTAACATCCACGGGTTGTTTTCTCACAGAGTCCCAGGCTGGCTTGATGGTGAAACTGGCCCATTTATGGAAAACTTCCTCCCTCTCCTCCCCTCCTGTCCTCGCCACCTCCCTGTCCCCTCTTGTTCGTCCCTCTCCTCCCTCTCCGTTTCTCCTTCTCTCTCTCCCCCCCCATCCTCTTCTCCTTTCCTCCCTCCCCTCTCCCCCCTTTTCTTTTCCCTCCTTGGTCTCCTGGTAAACAGTGGTGGAATGAGAAGCATTAGACATCAACAGTGGAGTGACAAGAAAAGGCTCTGGGTGACATGGCCTGGCTTCCATTTGCTTCGCCTTGAGGGATTTCTCCTCCGAACTTGGTCCTAACAAATGACCCCCATTAAGTTTCCTACTCGGTGGGCACTTCAGTTTTGTTGCGTGAAAACCACTCAATCTCAGCTTTAGCTACTAACATTTGGGTCCTGGAGGCCTAGGAGATCCACTTCAAGATCTTCCTCTTACTGGGGGAATGACGGTGTGACAAAAGCCCAACTTTGGAGGTGTGGAACTTTGAGTTCCAATTCTGAGGGCCATTCCTTAGCTGTGTCGCCTCAGGCAATCCGAGATTTTCCCATCTCTGAATCTGTTCACTTGTAAGGTGGGATGACAGTACCTATTAGATTAGGTGTTGGGAGGATTAAACAGAGTGATGTGTATGTGTAATGCACGTGGCGCAGTTTCTTGTTCAGTGATGTGAAATGATTTATAAATAGAACTAAAATTATTGTTTCTGTTCAGAGGGTTTTGCCGCAAGTGATAGTACTGCTTCCTTCAAGCTCACTAAAGTGTAAGGTATGAGCCAAAGTAATTATGGCCCAGACTGATGGCTGTTGGTCCTGCTGTCCGCTTCTGTGTGCCGCCATTGTGATGGACCCTTGCTTTCCAGTGGGCACATGGCTGTCTGGGGTGAGACTACATCTCACAAGTCTCCTTTTCAACCAGACAGGACCATTGATAAGGTTATGGCCAAGGAGACGTGAGAGGAACCCTTCCTCCAGAGACTGCTAGACTTCTGGTCCCTTGTGTCCTTTCTTATTCCTCCACGCCATTTTGCTACTTATCGTGGATGTGAGTAGGAGCTTGGCTTGGGACCTGAGGGATGTGCCTTGGGTGGCAGCGTAATGAGCTGGGGAGAAGCTGGTTCCCCAGGATTTCATGGAGCTCATTCACCAACCCAGTCTGGCAGACTTTTACATAAGAGAGAAATCAACTTCTGTTTCATCAGCTACTCTGCCAGCCATCATCAACGTCCTTTTCCAAGTCAGTGAAAAAATGGAGTTGGTAACGCCAGGACCAAAAACCCAAGTGAAGGCTGACCTTCAAAATAGGCACCCTCTCTCTGTCACAGAGAGAGAAATTTCCTAAAATTCATTTATTGATCAAGAATTTACAGGACTCCTCTGTTAAGATTACTTTCAAGGGCTAGTTTGTAGATCACTGCGCACACACACCCACACCCACACACACACAAACACACAATTTGCTACATTATGAGATCTTATTGCATTTTGACTCCTAGAAACATCAATCAGTTTAATCACCCATTTCGTTTATCTGATTTACTTTTGAGTATATCTAAAGTAATTCCAGGAAGCAATCCATTCTCAAAAGATATAAAAAATTTACCACCATAGTTATTTCATGGAATGTGCTGTAAGTGTCATTAAAAAGGGTTAAAAGAAAGTTTTGAGCAATAACAGAATCATTCAGCAGCTGCACCTCCTCCTAGAGGGCACTTCAACACAAATTTATTCAGAGGTAAACATTCTGGTATCTCTTTAAGCCAGTATATCCTGCTGCCCTACGTATAGGACACCTATAAAAATCATAAGTTGATCAATAAATATACTTCTTATGGTGCCTTTGAAATAAATATTATGATTTTAGAATTTTCTATTCTTTTGAGGAAAGTAATTGGTGAGTGATTACAGTGTTTGAAAGTATATATATTTTCTTCTATGTTAAAAATATATAAAGGGCCAGGTGTGGTGGTGCATGCCTGTAATCCCAGAGACTTGGGAGGCTGAGGCAGGAGGATCACGAGTTCAAAGCCAGCCTTAGCAACGATAAGGTGTTAAGCACCTCAGTGAGACCCTATCTCTAAATAAAACACAAAATTGGGCTGGGGGTGTGGCTCTGTGGCCGAGTACCACCAAGTTCAATCTCTGGTGCCCCCCCAAAAGAAACACACACGCACAGGCGTGCATGCACACACACGTGTGCATGCACACACACGCGTGCACACACACACACATATGTAAAGGATATATAAGCTTTAGATTGATTTCCAACCATTTCCATTTTAATGAACTTGCGTTAGTTTCCACTGAAATATTTGCAGAACTAAAAACTTGGGTCTCTCTCTCTCTCTCTCTCTCTCTCTCTCTCTCTCTCTTTTTTTCCAATTTTTCCACGGGTAGAGAGTACCAGGGATTGAACTCAGGGGCACTCAACCACTGAGCCACATCCCCAGCCCTATTTTGAATTTTATTTGGAGACAGGGTCTCACTGAGTT